AAAGTATTAAAACCTACAAATAAGTTCAGTGAATTTGCAAAATATAAAGTTAATATACAGAAAATTATTGTATTTTCAAAGATTTATTTATTTATTAGAGAGAGGGGCAGATCCGAGAGGGGGAGAGGGTCCTCAATCAGACTCCCTACAGAGGGTGGAGCCCTACATGGGGCCCAGTCAATCCCATGATTCTGAGACCATGATCTGAGCTGAAATCAAGAGTCAGATGTTTAACTGAGCCACCCAGGTGCCTCTATTGTGGTTTTAGACACTAATAATGAACTCACAGACAAATTAAGAAAATAATTCCATTTACAGTTGTTTTTTTTAAAGATTTTATTTATTTATTCATGAGAGACAGAGAGAGAGACCGGCAGAGACACAGGCAGAGGGGGAAGCAGGCTCCATGCAGGGAGCCCAATGTGGGACTCAATCCCGGGTCTCCAGGATCATGCCCTGGGCCGAAGGCAGCGCTAAACCACTGAGCCACCCAGGCTGCCCTCCATTTACAGTTGTAACAAAAAGAAGAATACTCCTAGGAATAAATTTAACCATGAAAATAAAAAACCTATACTTTTAAAAACTGTAAGATAACTGATGAAAAAATTTGAAGACAACACAAACCCAATGTTCATGGGTTGGAAGAATTAAAATTGTTAAAATGTTTATACTATTTAAAGTAGTTTATGGGACACCTGGGTTGCTCAGCGGTTGGGAGCCTGCCTTCGCTTAGGTTGTGATCCTGGGATCCAGGATTGAGTCCCGCATTGGGCTCCCTATGGGGAGCCTGCTTTTCCCTCTGCCTGTGTCTCTGCCTCTCTCTCTCTCTCTCTCTCTCTCTCTCTCATGAATAAATAAATCTTTAAAAAAAAGTAGTTTAGAATTTCAATAAAATATAACATTATCATTTTTCACAGATCAAGAACAAATAATGCTAAAATTTGCGTGGAACCACAAAAGACCTTGAGTAGCCAAAACAAAATTGAAGATAAAAAATGCTGGTAGTGGGGATCCCTATGCTGGTAGTGGGGATCCCTGGGTGGCTCAGTGGTTTAGCGCCTGCCTTTGGCCCAGGGCATGATCCTGGAGTCCCGGAATTGAGTCCCACGTCGGGCTCCTGGCATGGAACCTGCTTCTCTCTCTCCTCCTGTGTCTCTGTGTGTGTGTCTCTCTCTCTATGTCTATCATAAATAAATAAATAAATAAATAAATAAATAAATAAATAACTCTTAAAATAAAAGAAAAATGCAGGTAGTATCACAACCCCAGATTTCAAGATACAGTAAAACACTATTGTAATCAAAATAGTATAGTACTGGCATAAGAAGAGACATAGATCAATTGAAAAGCATAGGGAGTGGCGCCTAGGTGGCTCAGTTGGTTAAGTATCTGCCTTTGGCTCAGGTCATGATTTCAGGATCCTGAGATACAGCCCTGTGTTGGGCTCCCTGCTCAGTGAGGAGTCTGCTTCTCCCTCTCCCTCTGCCCCTCCCTCCTGTTTGTGTGTGTGTGTGTGCTCTCTCTCAAATAAATAAATAAAATCCTTTAAAAAAAAGAATAGGGGATCCAGAAATAAGATCACTCATATATATTAATTTAATCTATGTCATAGTGTTATAAATATACAGTGGGGAAATAACAGTCTCTACAACAAATGCTATTGGGAAACCTGGACAGCTATATGCCTGGTAATTAAACTGGGTCACTTTATTATGCCATATACAAAAATAAACAAAATGGATTAAAGACCAATATGTGAGAGCTGAAACCATAAATATCTTCAAAGAAAACAGAGGCAGTAATCTGTTTGACATCAGCCTTAGCAAAATATTTATTGATGTGTCTCCTCTGGCAAGGGAAACAAAAGCAAATATAAATTATTGGTACTACATCAAAATAAGAAACTTTTGCATAGCAAAGAAACTTTGAACAAAGTTTCATGAACAAAACAGAGAACCTACTGAATGGCAGAAGATATTTGCAAGTGATAATATTTGATAAGAGATTAATATCCAATATATATAATGAACTTCTATAACTTGACACTAAAAAACAACCAGATTTTTAGAAAATGGTAAAGGATTTGAGTAGACATTTCTCTAAAGAAGACATACAGATTGCCAACAGTCATGAAAAGTTGCTCAGCATCACAAATCATCAGGGAATTGCATATCAAAGCCAAGATGAGAGATCAATTCACAACTGTCAGAAAAACTAGAATCAAAAAGAAATAATTAGTGTTTGTAAGGACATGGAGAAAGGGGAATCCTCCTGCATTGTTGTTTGAATGTAAATTAAACTAACCACTATGGAAAACAGTATCAAAGATTCTTTAAAGAATGGGTGTTATACTATATGTTGGCAAATCAAACCTCAATAAAATATATATATAATATATATAATATATATATAAAATAATTAAAAATAGAAATACCATATGATACAGTAATTTCAGTATTGGTTGTTGGTTCAAATAAAACAATAATACTAATTTGAAAAGATATATGCATTTCTATGTTTATCACAATGTCATGTTTGATGGCCAAGTTATGTTAGCTGCCTGTGCTACATAACCAAGAGATGAATGTATAGAGGGATATATATATATATTGTGGTTAGCATTATGTCATGTATAAAATCATTGAATAACAATGTTTTGCACCTGAAGTTAATATGATGTATGTAAGCTATATTTTCATAAAGGAAAATAAACAAAACTTTTTAAAAAGTGAAAATTTGGAAAAGAAGAGAAAATGGGTGTGTATGCACAGAAAAAGGCCACCTGAAGACATAGGAAATTACCCATTCAGCCATCTGCAAGCTAAGGATTAAGGCCTCAGAAGAACTCAGACATGCCAGCACCTGAATTTTACACTTCTAACCTCCATAACTGTGAGAAACAAATTTCTGTTGTCTTTTTTTTTTTTAAAAAAAAGTGTCAAAATATGTCACAAAAACCCTCATAGTGAGAAGGAAACCAACAATACATTAATCGGTTGAACGAAGGAAAACAACAGATAAACAGAAAAGGGAAAATATAGATTTTATATTTCTAAAATTTACTATTTAAAAAATAAAAGTATCTAGAATGCCTTTAGACAAGAGCAAGTGCTAGGGAAGTAAAAATGATTTAATAGAAAATTTGAGTACCTCTTATTAAATTGACTTATTTTATTTTGTATATTTTTTTATCGGAGTTCAATTTGCCAACATATAACACCCAGTGCTCATCCCGTCAAGTGCTCCTCTCAGTGCCTGTCACCCACTGACTGTTATTTTGAATGTATATGATAGCAATATTGATAGGAATGGTGTTCCCACACATGGGTAGTATAAGAATATAATGAAATTTAGGATGTAATTTGCTAAAAATTCTTGACATTAACCTTAGGCGTTCATGCGAGATCCATTGAATTCACATTTCATTCATTTTTATTTTTCCAAACTTTTTCATTATTTGGAATAAAAATTACATATTGAGAATTTACAGTGTGACATTTGTATACATTTGAAATAAACACTACAAACATACAGATTAACAAAATCGTTCCTTCACAGTTACATATATTCTTTGTTATTTTAGTGAGAGCAATTATATGAACTTTTAGTAAGATACTAAAATAGTACGTAAATTGACATGTAATTAATTATTGCAGTATTAGTAACTAGAATCACAGTATGCTATATTAGATCTCGAGGATTTATACAACATATTTAAAAAATTGGGAGCCAGTGAAGAAAACCTTGTCATTTCCCAAATTGCAAACATCTAATAATCAATATTCTATGCTCATCCTGTAAGTATGACTTGCTGAGATTACACATATAAATGAATTTTGCAGTATTTCTCTTTCAGTATGCAATATATTTCAATAGAAATTTTATGCTCTACATTCCTTTTATTCAGGGTGATATATTATCTTTCAGAATATTTTAAACATTGTCTTATATGAATATAACATAATTATTCTATTTGTCCACTCACGTGAAAATTTTTGCACAACTTGGCTACTATGAGAATACAACAAAAAATTGGGAATACACATATATATTTAAAATGCAGATTTCCGGGATCCCTGGGTGGCGCAGCCGTTAGGCGCCTGCCTTTGGCCCAGGGCGCAATCCTGGACCCAGGATCGAATCCCACGTCGGGCTCCCGGTGCATGGAGCCTGCTTCTCCCTCTGCCTGTGTCTCTGCCTCTCTCTCTCTCTCTGTGACTATCATAAATAAATAAATAAAATGCAGATTTCCTATGTATTCAGATTGCTTTATAACATGGTAGTTCTATTTTAATGTTATGACAAAAAGCAATGATAATTTATCAAATGTTTTTGAGACTTTCTATGGAAAGCAAGAGAAAGGATGGGATGAAGACAGAAACAAAGTTACAAAGACTAAGATTACTCTAAACCTAACACTCAATAGGGAAAAGACACAAATGTGTTTAAAACAACAGCCAAGGGACGCCTGCATGGCTCAGGAGTTGAGCATCTACCTTTATACTCAGAGTGTGGTCCCAGAGTCCTCGAATTGAGTCCCGAATCAAGTCTGACATGGGATCCCGTCGAGGACCATACATATCCCTCTCCCTATGTTTCTCCATCCTTCTCTGTGCATCTGATGAATTAATAAATAAAAACTTTCCAAAAAAAAAAGTTTCAAAACAACAAAATTAGTCATTACGAAACACAAAATTCAGAACACTGAAACGAATGAACTCTATGCAAAATAGAAAACTTAATAAAATTTAAAATTTTCCAAACCACATTGAAAACGTCCATAGAAACAGAAGTATTCAAATCCCAGAAAAATACAATTTTTATAACAATTTTGCCACAAAAAGATATATACTAAAAAAAAAGATATATATTTCCCATGAGATACAATAACGAACCAAATGAAGTACATTCTCAGCAAGCTCTGATGAAGAAACAATCATTCTCTGTGACATATGTAAGACATTATGAACAGGAGTGTATTTTAGAGTCTGGGAGAAAAAGCAGGGAGAAAGAAGGGCGGGGATCCGGACCAACAAACAAGCGACAGAATCCCCACTCTGCAGCATCTGGGGTCATCTTTGGTTCCTCACATCTGTCTGGATGCAGCCCTCCTCCTCCACACCTTTCCCTGTAGTCACCTGTGCTTACTATCATGAACTCGGGCGCATACCTCCACACCTCCACCCACACCCACACCCACACCCACTCTCGCTCTAGCTCTCCCTCTAGCTCTCGCTCTAGCTGTAGCTCTCGCTCTCTTCCCCCCCCCCCCGCCCCTACACTCACAGGCCCGTGCAAACAGGCACACGGGCAGGCGGACGGGCATACGTGCATACACAGCTTTATTCAGGTAGACCGGTCTGGGCAGGCCCCCTCACTGACGGCCCCGACACAGCCAGTCTCTGTGCAAAGGAGGCTCAGTGGGCCCGACAGACGCCCTTCCTTGTTGTTCCCCTTTCCTTCCTCCCTGCCCCTTTCTGTTTGGCCTCCCACTCCTGAGTTGGGCCCTAGAGCATGGCAAAACAGGCCTCTCTCTGGACAGGGCTCAACCCCTCGCCTAAGTGGCTGAGACTTTGCCTTGGCTGATGGCTCTTCCCCTAGGAAGCCACGGCTGGCTGGCTCCACAGGTCCAGCTGGGGCGCAGTGCCTTTTGAGGTCACATTCGTTCTTCTCCTGCACTAGGGTTCCTCCTTTGCTCTCTCTCCGCTTTTGACTCCTTACTTTCGCGTCTTTACTGGCATTCTTCCTCTGCGCGTGTCCCCACGTTAACCTTTACTGGTGCTATGGAAGTGAACGTGGCCCCCGTGGATTGGGGGAGCAAGGGGCATCGCCTTACGACCATCCCTTGACCGTCCCTTTATTGCCGTGGGAGAGAGTAAGTAACTCATCCCTCTCCTCACTCGGGTCCCCGACCTCCCGCTTTTTAAACCCACCCCAGTGTTTCCCCGGGGTGTCCTCCGACCCGACCCTCTCTTTGCCCTGGGTGCATGCCCCGGGCTCTTTGGCTCTTTTGGCCCTATGGCGCGTGCCCGCTCCATATTCAGGGTGTGGTTGGGCCTCTCCTTTGGCCCTCTCTGTGCCCTCCAGGGCGACCTCCGGGTCAGGACCCTTGATGGCACTCAGGAGGGCTCCTTTGGCAAGAGGCTGCCTGGTGGGCGGTGGGCCCTTTTCCTGGCGGGGCCGCCTGTAGCTTGTGTCTCCTTGTCATTCCTTGTGCCTGTTAGCCCCACAGTGAGGCGCGCCTGGACTGCATCTAGGACAGCATTGGCCGGAGGCACGGTGGATGGTGGTGACCTTCTGCTTCTCTCTTTTCCTTTCACTTTCTACACTAAGCCCAGTGGTGGGGTCGGGGGTGAGGGTGTGGGGCTTGGTGGGAGTGATGGGTGTGCTAGGGGCCCAGAGGGGTGGAGGGGGGCAGGGGCTGTGGGCGGGGCTCGGGTGTGTTTTGGAGGGTGGGTGGGCTGGGGGGGGGGGCCTGGTCCATGGATCCTCCTCCCAGCCCTGACCTTGGGTTATGGGCCAGGCACCGGTGTAAGCAGAAGGCCGCGGTGAGGTGCAACCGTTCCCCTTCGTGGACCCGTGGTGGAGGCCGCGCTCATCCTTGAAAAAGGCGATCCAGACGTTCCTTTGCAAGGAAACAGCATCGGGAACTCAGGACAGGGCAAGATATCTTGTGGCTTTGTTTTTCGTTCCTTGCAGTTCTTCTCCTTATGGGAGCTCTTAACGTCAGTACTTGAAGGAGTTGGAACCTCTTCAGGTTGTGCCTTCCTTCCCCTTGTTCTCAGTCCAGTGGTGTGACCCAGGCCGATGGAGATTTCAGGGTGTGCCTAAGGGGCTGCTGTGTCGTCCATTTCCACGTGCCGGGGCGGGTGGGCGAGCACCCGAGGCTCGCCGCCGCCGCCGCCGCCGCCGCCGCCGCCGCTGCCGCCCCCGCGGCCCCCTTCACGCAGCGGTACACCCGGCCACACGGGCACGCCGCCATGCGCACGCTGAGCATACTGACACACACTGGCACGGGGACGCGGACACGCACATTCCCGGGCGGGCTCTCCAAGCGGGACACGCAGCCAGGCCCTTGGGGGTGGCGTGGGTTGGTCACCTGTGGACGGGCCTGCTCAAGCAAGGCCTGTGAACCTGGAGCCTGGCCTGTTTACCCAGATAGATGGGGACTCCCACATTGGAGGAGAGTCGGTGGCCGTCCTCCGCAGAATGGTGGCCCTGTGTGGGGCCCCGCGACTCGGAGATGTTTGGTGGTGGCCTTGCCAAGGCCCCTGTGGGAGAGCACGGGCTGGGCTGCCTGCCATAGAGTCGGTGCTCGTGTGAGTGCTTGGTTCCCCATTCTGGGGAGCCCCCTGGATGCGGCCCTGTGGCTGCAGGTCGGGTGGGCCATTTCTGGCTGCTTTGTCGGGTCCTGGCAAGGCGGGTGGTGACCTCAGGCTGTAGCTACAGGCCTTGGGGGGAGGCCACGAAGGGACCCGCAAGCCAGCGCGGGAGGGGTGGGGTGGGGGACAGTGGGGGAGAAAGCTTGTTCAGGGGAGGTCCTATGGATGTAAACCATCCCCGCAGAGTCAGAGTCACAGAGGTGGGCTTAGGTGTCCCTTGCCACTTACCTCGCCGGAGAGCAGGGGGCAAGAAAAATGGGGTAGGATAAATGGAAGGGGAAAGGCCCGGCAGGGTGTCAGGCCTCCTGGTCCCCAGTCATTTAGCCCTGCTTAGTGATTTGGTATTCAGCTGGAGTCCCCTTGCCAGGTGTGTGTGTATATGAAACACATATGTATTTCTATATATGCATATACATATACATGTATATATTTATGTGTGTATTCTTATGCATACATATATTCTTCCCCTCTCTCGTTCTCCTTTCCCTGTAATGGGGTGTGTAAGTGTGTCGCTGTGGTGGTGGTGTTGCTGTCCTTTCTTGTCCCCTGAACTCCAGTGCCTTGTGAATTTTCGTGTTTTGCGTGTTGAGGGGCACTGGCTGTGGGGGCCTCGTTTTGGTTTTTACTTTGTCCTTTTGCTTTCTGAGTACCTCTGTGTGCTTCCGTGTGGGCCCGTGGGCCCGCGGGGGCGCGCGCGCGAGGGTGTGTGTGTGTGTGTGTGTGTGTGTGTGATAGAGAGAGAGAGAGAGAGGAGAGAGCGGGAGAGCGCGAGAGTGTTGTTGTTGTGGTAGCTGCTGTTGTTGTTTTGTTTTGTTGTTGTTGTTTTGTTTTAACCTTAGATGTGGCTGAGGACCAAGACCTGAGGTGGTTGGGATGAAGGGGGAGGGGGCAGGGTCCGGATTCAGTTGGCATACGTGGAGCCATACTGCCATCAAGCGGAAATTGTTTCTGTCCAAGGCAGCCGCCTGGGCTCCAGTGGTGAGGAAAGCCCAGGAGTTGAGGAGGAGCTGGCTTGGGGCGGGTGAGGGGTGAGGGCAGAACGGGGCAGAGAGGGAAGGGGAAGCGGTGGGCCCTGTGTCCAGGGACACCTGGACACCTGGCTCCTGGCCTTCCCTTCACCTGTGTGCTGGATCCCAGATTGGACCCTGGCTCCGGAGCTGAGGAAGTCACTCAGAAGCCCCAGGGGCAGCCTGAGATGGCTGAGCCCGGAAGTTGCCTGGGACTGCCAAGCGCCATTGGCCGGGCCCGGAACCTCTAAACTGCCTCGGCTCCCGGTGAGGAAAGGGAAAGGGGCCTCCTGATCCCCTCGTGGCCCCAGGCAGGGCACTCCCCACAAAGGACACCAGAGGAAAATACCCGCCCTGGTCCCCTTGGGCAGTGGAGAGTTGCTTCCCCTGGGCCCACCCCAAAATGGCTGACAGGGAAGCTCCGCCCCCCCCTCCCCCAGGCTGTTTGGCCTTGGGGCTGCCTGCTGTATCCCCAGGGTCCCCAGAACCCTGCTTCCCGACTGGGTCCCACTGGCAGGCACAATTCCTTCGCGGCTTCTGAGGCCTGATGGGCCTGAGACCCCGGCTTGGGCAGGGCCCAGACAATCCAGGGCATCCCTGCTGACGTTCCCTCCCACCGCCCCCACGGGGGGGGGGGGGGGGGGCGGGGGGCCTGGAGGAAGACTGGTTGCTGCTGCCTGGGCTTTTCAGAGACAGTTTCCGCTGGATGGCACTGTGGCTCCAGAGATGGCAAGTCACCCCTTTCCCTGCCCCCACTGAGCCTTCCTCTTCCCCCTTTGGCTGCCAGACACTGGGTGGAGAACCACCACCAGCACCACCACCAGCACCAGCAGCACCACCACCACCACCACCACCAGCACAGCACCACCACCACCCCTGCCCTTCTCCAGCCTCCTCTAGCCTCTGCCTTCTCTCCTGCTCTCCGGCTCTCCGTCCCCCTCCTCATCCAAGCCACAGAGCACCCATCTCAACTCTGGCTGGGCTCCTGGCCAACTTGACCACTTTGGGGCAAACCTGCAAGTGTAACTAGGCCTTTTTTTTTTGTTTGTTTGTTTTGTTTTTTCTTTTTCTTTTCCTTCAAGTTTTTCCTTTGACTCCAGTTAGTTTAACGTGCGGCTCGTTGCATTCCTCTCGGGTGTCTAATATACTGATTCAGTAGTTCCCTAGGTCACCTGGTGCTCATCTGGACTCTGTGCACTGGCTAATCCCCAGTGACCTGTTTCACCACCCCCACCTTCTCCCATTGGGTAACCATCAGTTCTCTGTAATTCAGAGTCCGCCTCTGGATCTCTTCCCCCACCCCCCCCACCCCTCCACCCCCGCACCTTTGTGTTTTCTTCTTAAATTCCCCACATGAGTGAAATCGTAAGGTATTTGTGTTTGTCCGCCTGACTCAGTTTGCTTAGCCTTCTACTCTCGGGCTCCATCCATGTCCTTGGAAATGGGAAGATCTCATCCCCTTTTTATGGCTGAATGATATTCCTGTGTGTGTGCCCGCGCTCTCGCGTGCGTGTGCGCGTCCGCGTCCACGTCCCGGCACACGTATGTACCACATCTTCTTTATGCACTCGTCAGTCCGATGGACACTTGGGCTGCTCCCCTCTTCTTGGCTATTGTAAATAACTCTGCGGTAAACATAGGGGCGCGTGTGTCCCTTTGAACTAGTGTTCTTGTATCCTTTGGTCAATTATCCGGTCCTGCGATTGCTGGATGGCAGGGTCGTTCTAGTTTACCTTTTCGAGGAACCTCCGCGCTGCTCTCCACTGTGGCTCTGTTCCCAGGTTGGGCTCCCACCAGCAGTGCGCCAGTGTTCCTTTTCTTCCCCATCCTCGCCGGCACCTGTTGTTTCTTGTGTTACCGATTTTTAGCTAGGCGTTTCTTGACTCCGTTCGTCCTGCTGGTTCACGGTGAACACAGATGACCCTCAAGAGATCCCACCAGTAGGCTTACGGATTTTTCTTGGACTTTGAATCTTCAGGCTCCCCCTGGCCTCTGGCTTGTCTGCACCACACCTGTCCCTTGGCAGCCAGCTCTCTTCTCCTGAAGCCTCATGGTTCAGTGGGCCAAAGAATGGGCCAGAGGGCAGCCAGGCCCCACGGGGGTCCAGAACCTGTTGACCGGTCTTGCAGAACGCGGTCCTGCGGAGGGTCACGAGGCTCTGAGGGCCACCAGCTGCCTCCCTCCGTGGAACCCCGGGCACTGGTTTGTGCCCAGGGGTGGGCGGGTGAGCGGTGGGCCTTTTCGGAGATGGGATGGGTTACAGAGGTGGGCCTCCCGGAAGGCCACTTGGCATCTCTGATGGAGCGCAGTGTGTCCTTCCCCAAATGCCTCTGTTCACAAGTTCCAGTCGGGGGTCTCTCTGAGCGCCTCGCCCCACTCCCCCACCCCCACCCCCACCCCACCCCACCCCACCCCCGTTGGCTTTGGCGGCCAGGATCCCTGGTTTCAATTCTGCACAGGGAGCTCCACCATAAGACTTGCTGGGTTTTCGTCCAAGGGTCCCTGCGAATTTTTGCCCTTGGGCAGGGGGTGGGGGTTAGGAGGTCCATGGAACTGGGGTTGGGGGCCCCCTTCCGTTTTCGAGGGGCATGTGGCAGAAAGGGGGGCATGTTTGGGGGCTTGGTTGGGTGTATATAGCTCTCTCTGTTCCTCAACCTAAACCGGGATTGATGCCGGCCGGGTATTGGCCCTGGAGAAAGGAATGAGATGGGCCCCTGGGATGGGGGGGGGGGTGGTGGTGGTGGGGGGGGTTGGTTGTGTGTGTGTGTGTGTGTGTGTGTGTGTGTGTGTGTTTGTGCGCGCGCCTGTGCCAGCTGTTGGGGGGGAGGGGCGGGTAGAGGGTGGAGTAGGTTGGGTTATCAGGTTATCAGGCAGTCAGTCTTCCAAAACCAGGGAAATGAGGGCTTTTAAGCCCGAGCAGGTTGGGATGCAGAGCAAAGCAGTGGTCACCTCCACCTCGGTGTGATTGTTTAAGGTCATACCCTCATAAGCCATGCCGCCCAGTGCCTGCAGAACGTGATCCTGAAGGTTTTTACGGTTTCCCCAGTGGTTCCCTTCCTGGCCTTTTTGAAAAGCCTTCCTGGATGCCTGAGCCCATGGGAGTTCCACAGGGGAGGGAAAATCCACACCCGCAAGGCAGGGAATTCCAACACTGGGTGGTTAGTATCTTAAGGACTCTTAGAAAGGAGCAGTCACTGTTTGGGACACTCTTCCATTCCAGTCAAGCTATTCCAGGAAGTAGGCCAACCCTTGAAATTGGCGAGAAAAAGGAAACACACGCGAAAACAAGCAGCAGACACCTTGGAAGGTCCCCACCTTCCTGCCAAGCAGGACCTAAGGTGGATCTTTCCCAGACACTAAAGGGCAGGGCGCCTCTGGCACTTCCTGGGAGAAAAAGCAGGGAGAAAGAAGGGCGGGGATCCGGACCAACAAACAAGCGACAGAATCCCCACTCTGCAGCATCTGGGGTCATCTTTGGTTCCTCACATCTGTCTGGATGCAGCCCTCCTCCTCCACACCTTTCCCTGTAGTCACCTGTGCTTACTATCATGAACTCGGGCGCATACCTCCACACCTCCACCCACACCCACACCCACACCCACTCTCGCTCTAGCTCTCCCTCTAGCTCTCGCTCTAGCTGTAGCTCTCGCTCTCTTCCCCCCCCCCCCGCCCCTACACTCACAGGCCCGTGCAAACAGGCACACGGGCAGGCGGACGGGCATACGTGCATACACAGCTTTATTCAGGTAGACCGGTCTGGGCAGGCCCCCTCACTGACGGCCCCGACACAGCCAGTCTCTGTGCAAAGGAGGCTCAGTGGGCCCGACAGACGCCCTTCCTTGTTGTTCCCCTTTCCTTCCTCCCTGCCCCTTTCTGTTTGGCCTCCCACTCCTGAGTTGGGCCCTAGAGCATGGCAAAACAGGCCTCTCTCTGGACAGGGCTCAACCCCTCGCCTAAGTGGCTGAGACTTTGCCTTGGCTGATGGCTCTTCCCCTAGGAAGCCACGGCTGGCTGGCTCCACAGGTCCAGCTGGGGCGCAGTGCCTTTTGAGGTCACATTCGTTCTTCTCCTGCACTAGGGTTCCTCCTTTGCTCTCTCTCCGCTTTTGACTCCTTACTTTCGCGTCTTTACTGGCATTCTTCCTCTGCGCGTGTCCCCACGTTAACCTTTACTGGTGCTATGGAAGTGAACGTGGCCCCCGTGGATTGGGGGAGCAAGGGGCATCGCCTTACGACCATCCCTTGACCGTCCCTTTATTGCCGTGGGAGAGAGTAAGTAACTCATCCCTCTCCTCACTCGGGTCCCCGACCTCCCGCTTTTTAAACCCACCCCAGTGTTTCCCCGGGGTGTCCTCCGACCCGACCCTCTCTTTGCCCTGGGTGCATGCCCCGGGCTCTTTGGCTCTTTTGGCCCTATGGCGCGTGCCCGCTCCATATTCAGGGTGTGGTTGGGCCTCTCCTTTGGCCCTCTCTGTGCCCTCCAGGGCGACCTCCGGGTCAGGACCCTTGATGGCACTCAGGAGGGCTCCTTTGGCAAGAGGCTGCCTGGTGGGCGGTGGGCCCTTTTCCTGGCGGGGCCGCCTGTAGCTTGTGTCTCCTTGTCATTCCTTGTGCCTGTTAGCCCCACAGTGAGGCGCGCCTGGACTGCATCTAGGACAGCATTGGCCGGAGGCACGGTGGATGGTGGTGACCTTCTGCTTCTCTCTTTTCCTTTCACTTTCTACACTAAGCCCAGTGGTGGGGTCGGGGGTGAGGGTGTGGGGCTTGGTGGGAGTGATGGGTGTGCTAGGGGCCCAGAGGGGTGGAGGGGGGCAGGGGCTGTGGGCGGGGCTCGGGTGTGTTTTGGAGGGTGGGTGGGCTGGGGGGGGGGGCCTGGTCCATGGATCCTCCTCCCAGCCCTGACCTTGGGTTATGGGCCAGGCACCGGTGTAAGCAGAAGGCCGCGGTGAGGTGCAACCGTTCCCCTTCGTGGACCCGTGGTGGAGGCCGCGCTCATCCTTGAAAAAGGCGATCCAGACGTTCCTTTGCAAGGAAACAGCATCGGGAACTCAGGACAGGGCAAGATATCTTGTGGCTTTGTTTTTCGTTCCTTGCAGTTCTTCTCCTTATGGGAGCTCTTAACGTCAGTACTTGAAGGAGTTGGAACCTCTTCAGGTTGTGCCTTCCTTCCCCTTGTTCTCAGTCCAGTGGTGTGACCCAGGCCGATGGAGATTTCAGGGTGTGCCTAAGGGGCTGCTGTGTCGTCCATTTCCACGTGCCGGGGCGGGTGGGCGAGCACCCGAGGCTCGCCGCCGCCGCCGCCGCCGCCGCCGCCGCCGCTGCCGCCCCCGCGGCCCCCTTCACGCAGCGGTACACCCGGCCACACGGGCACGCCGCCATGCGCACGCTGAGCATACTGACACACACTGGCACGGGGACGCGGACACGCACATTCCCGGGCGGGCTCTCCAAGCGGGACACGCAGCCAGGCCCTTGGGGGTGGCGTGGGTTGGTCACCTGTGGACGGGCCTGCTCAAGCAAGGCCTGTGAACCTGGAGCCTGGCCTGTTTACCCAGATAGATGGGGACTCCCACATTGGAGGAGAGTCGGTGGCCGTCCTCCGCAGAATGGTGGCCCTGTGTGGGGCCCCGCGACTCGGAGATGTTTGGTGGTGGCCTTGCCAAGGCCCCTGTGGGAGAGCACGGGCTGGGCTGCCTGCCATAGAGTCGGTGCTCGTGTGAGTGCTTGGTTCCCCATTCTGGGGAGCCCCCTGGATGCGGCCCTGTGGCTGCAGGTCGGGTGGGCCATTTCTGGCTGCTTTGTCGGGTCCTGGCAAGGCGGGTGGTGACCTCAGGCTGTAGCTACAGGCCTTGGGGGGAGGCCACGAAGGGACCCGCAAGCCAGCGCGGGAGGGGTGGGGTGGGGGACAGTGGGGGAGAAAGCTTGTTCAGGGGAGGTCCTATGGATGTAAACCATCCCCGCAGAGTCAGAGTCACAGAGGTGGGCTTAGGTGTCCCTTGCCACTTACCTCGCCGGAGAGCAGGGGGCAAGAAAAATGGGGTAGGATAAATGGAAGGGGAAAGGCCCGGCAGGGTGTCAGGCCTCCTGGTCCCCAGTCATTTAGCCCTGCTTAGTGATTTGGTATTCAGCTGGAGTCCCCTTGCCAGGTGTGTGTGTATATGAAACACATATGTATTTCTATATATGCATATACATATACATGTATATATTTATGTGTGTATTCTTATGCATACATATATTCTTCCCCTCTCTCGTTCTCCTTTCCCTGTAATGGGGTGTGTAAGTGTGTCGCTGTGGTGGTGGTGTTGCTGTCCTTTCTTGTCCCCTGAACTCCAGTGCCTTGTGAATTTTCGTGTTTTGCGTGTTGAGGGGCACTGGCTGTGGGGGCCTCGTTTTGGTTTTTACTTTGTCCTTTTGCTTTCTGAGTACCTCTGTGTGCTTCCGTGTGGGCCCGTGGGCCCGCGGGGGCGCGCGCGCGAGGGTGTGTGTGTGTGTGTGTGTGTGTGTGTGATAGAGAGAGAGAGAGAGAGAGAGGAGAGAGCGGGAGAGCGCGAGAGTGTTGTTGTTGTGGTAGCTGCTGTTGTTGTTTTGTTTTGTTGTTGTTGTTTTGTTTTAACCTTAGATGTGGCTGAGGACCAAGACCTGAGGTGGTTGGGATGAAGGGGGAGGGGGCAGGGTCCGGATTCAGTTGGCATACGTGGAGCCATACTGCCATCAAGCGGAAATTGTTTCTGTCCAAGGCAGCCGCCTGGGCTCCAGTGGTGAGGAAAGCCCAGGAGTTGAGGAGGAGCTGGCTTGGGGCGGGTGAGGGGTGAGGGCAGAACGGGGCAGAGAGGGAAGGGGAAGCGGTGGGCCCTGTGTCCAGGGACACCTGGACACCTGGCTCCTGGCCTTCCCTTCACCTGTGTGCTGGATCCCAGATTGGACCCTGGCTCCGGAGCTGAGGAAGTCACTCAGAAGCCCCAGGGGCAGCCTGAGATGGCTGAGCCCGGAAGTTGCCTGGGACTGCCAAGCGCCATTGGCCGGGCCCGGAACCTCTAAACTGCCTCGGCTCCCGGTGAGGAAAGGGAAAGGGGCCTCCTGATCCCCTCGTGGCCCCAGGCAGGGCACTCCCCACAAAGGACACCAGAGGAAAATACCCGCCCTGGTCCCCTTGGGCAGTGGAGAGTTGCTTCCCCTGGGCCCACCCCAAAATGGCTGACAGGGAAGCTCCGCCCCCCCCTCCCCCAGGCTGTTTGGCCTTGGGGCTGCCTGCTGTATCCCCAGGGTCCCCAGAACCCTGCTTCCCGACTGGGTCCCACTGGCAGGCACAATTCCTTCGCGGCTTCTGAGGCCTGATGGGCCTGAGACCCCGGCTTGGGCAGGGCCCAGACAATCCAGGGCATCCCTGCTGACGTTCCCTCCCACCGCCCCCACGGGGGGGGGGGGGGGGGGCGGGGGGCCTGGAGGAAGACTGGTTGCTGCTGCCTGGGCTTTTCAGAGACAGTTTCCGCTGGATGGCACTGTGGCTCCAGAGATGGCAAGTCACCCCTTTCCCTGCCCCCACTGAGCCTTCCTCTTCCCCCTTTGGCTGCCAGACACTGGGTGGAGAACCACCACCAGCACCACCACCAGCACCAGCAGCACCACCACCACCACCACCACCAGCACAGCACCACCACCACCCCTGCCCTTCTCCAGCCTCCTCTAGCCTCTGCCTTCTCTCCTGCTCTCCGGCTCTCCGTCCCCCTCCTCATCCAAGCCACAGAGCACCCATCTCAACTCTGGCTGGGCTCCTGGCCAACTTGACCACTTTGGGGCAAACCTGCAAGTGTAACTAGGCCTTTTTTTTTTTGTTTGTTTGTTTTGTTTTTTCTTTTTCTTTTCCTTCAAGTTTTTCCTTTGACTCCAGTTAGTTTAACGTGCGGCTCGTTGCATTCCTCTCGGGTGTCTAATATACTGATTCAGTAGTTCCCTAGGTCACCTGGTGCTCATCTGGACTCTGTGCACTGGCTAATCCCCAGTGACCTGTTTCACCACCCCCACCTTCTCCCATTGGGTAACCATCAGTTCTCTGTAATTCAGAGTCCGCCTCTGGATCTCTTCCCCCACCCCCCCCACCCCTCCACCCCCGCACCTTTGTGTTTTCTTCTTAAATTCCCCACATGAGTGAAATCGTAAGGTATTTGTGTTTGTCCGCCTGACTCAGTTTGCTTAGCCTTCTACTCTCGGGCTCCATCCATGTCCTTGGAAATGGGAAGATCTCATCCCCTTTTTATGGCTGAATGATATTCCTGTGTGTGTGCCCGCGCTCTCGCGTGCGTGTGCGCGTCCGCGTCCACGTCCCGGCACACGTATGTACCACATCTTCTTTATGCACTCGTCAGTCCGATGGACACTTGGGCTGCTCCCCTCTTCTTGGCTATTGTAAATAACTCTGCGGTAAACATAGGGGCGCGTGTGTCCCTTTGAACTAGTGTTCTTGTATCCTTTGGTCAATTATCCGGTCCTGCGATTGCTGGATGGCAGGGTCGTTCTAGTTTACCTTTTCGAGGAACCTCCGCGCTGCTCTCCACTGTGGCTCTGTTCCCAGGTTGGGCTCCCACCAGCAGTGCGCCAGTGTTCCTTTTCTTCCCCATCCTCGCCGGCACCTGTTGTTTCTTGTGTTACCGATTTTTAGCTAGGCGTTTCTTGACTCCGTTCGTCCTGCTGGTTCACGGTGAACACAGATGACCCTCAAGAGATCCCACCAGTAGGCTTACGGATTTTTCTTGGACTTTGAATCTTCAGGCTCCCCCTGGCCTCTGGCTTGTCTGCACCACACCTGTCCCTTGGCAGCCAGCTCTCTTCTCCTGAAGCCTCATGGTTCAGTGGGCCAAAGAATGGGCCAGAGGGCAGCCAGGCCCCACGGGGGTCCAGAACCTGTTGACCGGTCTTGCAGAACGCGGTCCTGCGGAGGGTCACGAGGCTCTGAGGGCCACCAGCTGCCTCCCTCCGTGGAACCCCGGGCACTGGTTTGTGCCCAGGGGTGGGCGGGTGAGCGGTGGGCCTTTTCGGAGATGGGATGGGTTACAGAGGTGGGCCTCCCGGAAGGCCACTTGGCATCTCTGATGGAGCGCAGTGTGTCCTTCCCCAAATGCCTCTGTTCACAAGTTCCAGTCGGGGGTCTCTCTGAGCGCCTCGCCCCACTCCCCCACCCCCACCCCCACCCCACCCCACCCCACCCCCGTTGGCTTTGGCGGCCAGGATCCCTGGTTTCAATTCTGCACAGGGAGCTCCACCATAAGACTTGCTGGGTTTTCGTCCAAGGGTCCCTGCGAATTTTTGCCCTTGGGCAGGGGGTGGGGGTTAGGAGGTCCATGGAACTGGGGTTGGGGGCCCCCTTCCGTTTTCGAGGGGCATGTGGCAGAAAGGGGGGCATGTTTGGGGGCTTGGTTGGGTGTATATAGCTCTCTCTGTTCCTCAACCTAAACCGGGATTGATGCCGGCCGGGTATTGGCCCTGGAGAAAGGAATGAGATGGGCCCCTGGGATGGGGGGGGGGGTGGTGGTGGTGGGGGGGGTTGGTTGTGTGTGTGTGTGTGTGTGTGTGTGTGTGTGTGTGTTTGTGCGCGCGCCTGTGCCAGCTGTTGGGGGGGAGGGGCGGGTAGAGGGTGGAGTAGGTTGGGTTATCAGGTTATCAGGCAGTCAGTCTTCCAAAACCAGGGAAATGAGGGCTTTTAAGCCCGAGCAGGTTGGGATGCAGAGCAAAGCAGTGGTCACCTCCACCTCGGTGTGATTGTTTAAGGTCATACCCTCATAAGCCATGCCGCCCAGTGCCTGCAGAACGTGATCCTGAAGGTTTTTACGGTTTCCCCAGTGGTTCCCTTCCTGGCCTTTTTGAAAAGCCTTCCTGGATGCCTGAGCCCATGGGAGTTCCACAGGGGAGGGAAAATCCACACCCGCAAGGCAGGGAATTCCAACACTGGGTGGTTAGTATCTTAAGGACTCTTAGAAAGGAGCAGTCACTGTTTGGGACACTCTTCCATTCCAGTCAAGCTATTCCAGGAAGTAGGCCAACCCTTGAAATTGGCGAGAAAAAGGAAACACACGCGAAAACAAGCAGCAGACACCTTGGAAGGTCCCCACCTTCCTGCCAAGCAGGACCTAAGGTGGATCTTTCCCAGACACTAAAGGGCAGGGCGCCTCTGGCACTTCCTGGGAGAAAAAGCAGGGAGAAAGAAGGGCGGGGATCCGGACCAACAAACAAGCGACAGAATCCCCACTCTGCAGCATCTGGGGTCATCTTTGGTTCCTCACATCTGTCTGGATGCAGCCCTCCTCCTCCACACCTTTCCCTGTAGTCACCTGTGCTTACTATCATGAACTCGGGCGCATACCTCCACACCTCCACCCACACCCACACCCACACCCACTCTCGCTCTAGCTCTCCCTCTAGCTCTCGCTCTAGCTGTAGCTCTCGCTCTCTTCCCCCCCCCCCCGCCCCTACACTCACAGGCCCGTGCAAACAGGCACACGGGCAGGCGGACGGGCATACGTGCATACACAGCTTTATTCAGGTAGACCGGTCTGGGCAGGCCCCCTCACTGACGGCCCCGACACAGCCAGTCTCTGTGCAAAGGAGGCTCAGTGGGCCCGACAGACGCCCTTCCTTGTTGTTCCCCTTTCCTTCCTCCCTGCCCCTTTCTGTTTGGCCTCCCACTCCTGAGTTGGGCCCTAGAGCATGGCAAAACAGGCCTCTCTCTGGACAGGGCTCAACCCCTCGCCTAAGTGGCTGAGACTTTGCCTTGGCTGATGGCTCTTCCCCTAGGAAGCCACGGCTGGCTGGCTCCACAGGTCCAGCTGGGGCGCAGTGCCTTTTGAGGTCACATTCGTTCTTCTCCTGCACTAGGGTTCCTCCTTTGCTCTCTCTCCGCTTTTGACTCCTTACTTTCGCGTCTTTACTGGCATTCTTCCTCTGCGCGTGTCCCCACGTTAACCTTTACTGGTGCTATGGAAGTGAACGTGGCCCCCGTGGATTGGGGGAGCAAGGGGCATCGCCTTACGACCATCCCTTGACCGTCCCTTTATTGCCGTGGGAGAGAGTAAGTAACTCATCCCTCTCCTCACTCGGGTCCCCGACCTCCCGCTTTTTAAACCCACCCCAGTGTTTCCCCGGGGTGTCCTCCGACCCGACCCTCTCTTTGCCCTGGGTGCATGCCCCGGGCTCTTTGGCTCTTTTGGCCCTATGGCGCGTGCCCGCTCCATATTCAGGGTGTGGTTGGGCCTCTCCTTTGGCCCTCTCTGTGCCCTCCAGGGCGACCTCCGGGTCAGGACCCTTGATGGCACTCAGGAGGGCTCCTTTGGCAAGAGGCTGCCTGGTGGGCGGTGGGCCCTTTTCCTGGCGGGGCCGCCTGTAGCTTGTGTCTCCTTGTCATTCCTTGTGCCTGTTAGCCCCACAGTGAGGCGCGCCTGGACTGCATCTAGGACAGCATTGGCCGGAGGCACGGTGGATGGTGGTGACCTTCTGCTTCTCTCTTTTCCTTTCACTTTCTACACTAAGCCCAGTGGTGGGGTCGGGGGTGAGGGTGTGGGGCTTGGTGGGAGTGATGGGTGTGCTAGGGGCCCAGAGGGGTGGAGGGGGGCAGGGGCTGTGGGCGGGGCTCGGGTGTGTTTTGGAGGGTGGGTGGGCTGGGGGGGGGGGCCTGGTCCATGGATCCTCCTCCCAGCCCTGACCTTGGGTTATGGGCCAGGCACCGGTGTAAGCAGAAGGCCGCGGTGAGGTGCAACCGTTCCCCTTCGTGGACCCGTGGTGGAGGCCGCGCTCATCCTTGAAAAAGGCGATCCAGACGTTCCTTTGCAAGGAAACAGCATCGGGAACTCAGGACAGGGCAAGATATCTTGTGGCTTTGTTTTTCGTTCCTTGCAGTTCTTCTCCTTATGGGAGCTCTTAACGTCAGTACTTGAAGGAGTTGGAACCTCTTCAGGTTGTGCCTTCCTTCCCCTTGTTCTCAGTCCAGTGGTGTGACCCAGGCCGATGGAGATTTCAGGGTGTGCCTAAGGGGCTGCTGTGTCGTCCATTTCCACGTGCCGGGGCGGGTGGGCGAGCACCCGAGGCTCGCCGCCGCCGCCGCCGCCGCCGCCGCCGCCGCTGCCGCCCCCGCGGCCCCCTTCACGCAGCGGTACACCCGGCCACACGGGCACGCCGCCATGCGCACGCTGAGCATACTGACACACACTGGCACGGGGACGCGGACACGCACATTCCCGGGCGGGCTCTCCAAGCGGGACACGCAGCCAGGCCCTTGGGGGTGGCGTGGGTTGGTCACCTGTGGACGGGCCTGCTCAAGCAAGGCCTGTGAACCTGGAGCCTGGCCTGTTTACCCAGATAGATGGGGACTCCCACATTGGAGGAGAGTCGGTGGCCGTCCTCCGCAGAATGGTGGCCCTGTGTGGGGCCCCGCGACTCGGAGATGTTTGGTGGTGGCCTTGCCAAGGCCCCTGTGGGAGAGCACGGGCTGGGCTGCCTGCCATAGAGTCGGTGCTCGTGTGAGTGCTTGGTTCCCCATTCTGGGGAGCCCCCTGGATGCGGCCCTGTGGCTGCAGGTCGGGTGGGCCATTTCTGGCTGCTTTGTCGGGTCCTGGCAAGGCGGGTGGTGACCTCAGGCTGTAGCTACAGGCCTTGGGGGGAGGCCACGAAGGGACCCGCAAGCCAGCGCGGGAGGGGTGGGGTGGGGGACAGTGGGGGAGAAAGCTTGTTCAGGGGAGGTCCTATGGATGTAAACCATCCCCGCAGAGTCAGAGTCACAGAGGTGGGCTTAGGTGTCCCTTGCCACTTACCTCGCCGGAGAGCAGGGGGCAAGAAAAATGGGGTAGGATAAATGGAAGGGGAAAGGCCCGGCAGGGTGTCAGGCCTCCTGGTCCCCAGTCATTTAGCCCTGCTTAGTGATTTGGTATTCAGCTGGAGTCCCCTTGCCAGGTGTGTGTGTATATGAAACACATATGTATTTCTATATATGCATATACATATACATGTATATATTTATGTGTGTATTCTTATGCATACATATATTCTTCCCCTCTCTCGTTCTCCTTTCCCTGTAATGGGGTGTGTAAGTGTGTCGCTGTGGTGGTGGTGTTGCTGTCCTTTCTTGTCCCCTGAACTCCAGTGCCTTGTGAATTTTCGTGTTTTGCGTGTTGAGGGGCACTGGCTGTGGGGGCCTCGTTTTGGTTTTTACTTTGTCCTTTTGCTTTCTGAGTACCTCTGTGTGCTTCCGTGTGGGCCCGTGGGCCCGCGGGGGCGCGCGCGCGAGGGTGTGTGTGTGTGTGTGTGTGTGTGTGTGATAGAGAGAGAGAGAGAGAGAGGAGAGAGCGGGAGAGCGCGAGAGTGTTGTTGTTGTGGTAGCTGCTGTTGTTGTTTTGTTTTGTTGTTGTTGTTTTGTTTTAACCTTAGATGTGGCTGAGGACCAAGACCTGAGGTGGTTGGGATGAAGGGGGAGGGGGCAGGGTCCGGATTCAGTTGGCATACGTGGAGCCATACTGCCATCAAGCGGAAATTGTTTCTGTCCAAGGCAGCCGCCTGGGCTCCAGTGGTGAGGAAAGCCCAGGAGTTGAGGAGGAGCTGGCTTGGGGCGGGTGAGGGGTGAGGGCAGAACGGGGCAGAGAGGGAAGGGGAAGCGGTGGGCCCTGTGTCCAGGGACACCTGGACACCTGGCTCCTGGCCTTCCCTTCACCTGTGTGCTGGATCCCAGATTGGACCCTGGCTCCGGAGCTGAGGAAGTCACTCAGAAGCCCCAGGGGCAGCCTGAGATGGCTGAGCCCGGAAGTTGCCTGGGACTGCCAAGCGCCATTGGCCGGGCCCGGAACCTCTAAACTGCCTCGGCTCCCGGTGAGGAAAGGGAAAGGGGCCTCCTGATCCCCTCGTGGCCCCAGGCAGGGCACTCCCCACAAAGGACACCAGAGGAAAATACCCGCCCTGGTCCCCTTGGGCAGTGGAGAGTTGCTTCCCCTGGGCCCACCCCAAAATGGCTGACAGGGAAGCTCCGCCCCCCCCTCCCCCAGGCTGTTTGGCCTTGGGGCTGCCTGCTGTATCCCCAGGGTCCCCAGAACCCTGCTTCCCGACTGGGTCCCACTGGCAGGCACAATTCCTTCGAGGCTTCTGAGGCCTGATGGGCCTGAGACCCCGGCTTGGGCAGGGCCCAGACAATCCAGGGCATCCCTGCTGACGTTCCCTCCCACCGCCCCCACGGGGGGGGGGGGGGGGGGGCGGGGGGCCTGGAGGAAGACTGGTTGCTGCTGCCTGGGCTTTTCAGAGACAGTTTCCGCTGGATGGCACTGTGGCTCCAGAGATGGCAAGTCACCCCTTTCCCTGCCCCCACTGAGCCTTCCTCTTCCCCCTTTGGCTGCCAGACACTGGGTGGAGAACCACCACCAGCACCACCACCAGCACCAGCAGCACCACCACCACCACCACCAGCACAGCACCACCACCACCCCTGCCCTTCTCCAGCCTCCTCTAGCCTCTGCCTTCTCTCCTGCTCTCCGGCTCTCCGTCCCCCTCCTCATCCAAGCCACAGAGCACCCATCTCAACTCTGGCTGGGCTCCTGGCCAACTTGACCACTTTGGGGCAAACCTGCAAGTGTAACTAGGCCTTTTTTTTTTGTTTGTTTGTTTTGTTTTTTCTTTTTCTTTTCCTTCAAGTTTTTCCTTTGACTCCAGTTAGTTTAACGTGCGGCTCGTTGCATTCCTCTCGGGTGTCTAATATACTGATTCAGTAGTTCCCTAGGTCACCTGGTGCTCATCTGGACTCTGTGCACTGGCTAATCCCCAGTGACCTGTTTCACCACCCCCACCTTCTCCCATTGGGTAACCATCAGTTCTCTGTAATTCAGAGTCCGCCTCTGGATCTCTTCCCCCACCCCCCCCACCCCTCCACCCCGCACCTTTGTGTTTTCTTCTTAAATTCCCCACATGAGTGAAATCGTAAGGTATTTGTGTTTGTCCGCCTGACTCAGTTTGCTTAGCCTTCTACTCTCGGGCTCCATCCATGTCCTTGGAAATGGGAAGATCTCATCCCCTTTTTATGGCTGAATGATATTCCTGTGTGTGTGCCCGCGCTCTCGCGTGCGTGTGCGCGTCCGCGTCCACGTCCCGGCACACGTATGTACCACATCTTCTTTATGCACTCGTCAGTCCGATGGACACTTGGGCTGCTCCCCTCTTCTTGGCTATTGTAAATAACTCTGCGGTAAACATAGGGGCGCGTGTGTCCCTTTGAACTAGTGTTCTTGTATCCTTTGGTCAATTATCCGGTCCTGCGATTGCTGGATGGCAGGGTCGTTCTAGTTTACCTTTTCGAGGAACCTCCGCGCTGCTCTCCACTGTGGCTCTGTTCCCAGGTTGGGCTCCCACCAGCAGTGCGCCAGTGTTCCTTTTCTTCCCCATCCTCGCCGGCACCTGTTGTTTCTTGTGTTACCGATTTTTAGCTAGGCGTTTCTTGACTCCGTTCGTCCTGCTGGTTCACGGTGAACACAGATGACCCTCAAGAGATCCCACCAGTAGGCTTACGGATTTTTCTTGGACTTTGAATCTTCAGGCTCCCCCTGGCCTCTGGCTTGTCTGCACCACACCTGTCCCTTGGCAGCCAGCTCTCTTCTCCTGAAGCCTCATGGTTCAGTGGGCCAAAGAATGGGCCAGAGGGCAGCCAGGCCCCACGGGGGTCCAGAACCTGTTGACCGGTCTTGCAGAACGCGGTCCTGCGGAGGGTCACGAGGCTCTGAGGGCCACCAGCTGCCTCCCTCCGTGGAACCCCGGGCACTGGTTTGTGCCCAGGGGTGGGCGGGTGAGCGGTGGGCCTTTTCGGAGATGGGATGGGTTACAGAGGTGGGCCTCCCGGAAGGCCACTTGGCATCTCTGATGGAGCGCAGTGTGTCCTTCCCCAAATGCCTCTGTTCACAAGTTCCAGTCGGGGGTCTCTCTGAGCGCCTCGCCCCACTCCCCCACCCCCACCCCCACCCCACCCCACCCCACCCCCGTTGGCTTTGGCGGCCAGGATCCCTGGTTTCAATTCTGCACAGGGAGCTCCACCATAAGACTTGCTGGGTTTTCGTCCAAGGGTCCCTGCGAATTTTTGCCCTTGGGCAGGGGGTGGGGGTTAGGAGGTCCATGGAACTGGGGTTGGGGGCCCCCTTCCGTTTTCGAGGGGCATGTGGCAGAAAGGGGGGCATGTTTGGGGGCTTGGTTGGGTGTATATAGCTCTCTCTGTTCCTCAACCTAAACCGGGATTGATGCCGGCCGGGTATTGGCCCTGGAGAAAGGAATGAGATGGGCCCCTGGGATGGGGGGGGGGGTGGTGGTGGTGGGGGGGGTTGGTTGTGTGTGTGTGTGTGTGTGTGTGTGTGTGTGTGTGTTTGTGCGCGCGCCTGTGCCAGCTGTTGGGGGGGAGGGGCGGTAGAGGGTGGAGTAGGTTGGGTTATCAGGTTATCAGGCAGTCAGTCTTCCAAAACCAGGGAAATGAGGGCTTTTAAGCCCGAGCAGGTTGGGATGCAGAGCAAAGCAGTGGTCACCTCCACCTCGGTGTGATTGTTTAAGGTCATACCCTCATAAGCCATGCCGCCCAGTGCCTGCAGAACGTGATCCTGAAGGTTTTTACGGTTTCCCCAGTGGTTCCCTTCCTGGCCTTTTTGAAAAGCCTTCCTGGATGCCTGAGCCCATGGGAGTTCCACAGGGGAGGGAAAATCCACACCCGCAAGGCAGGGAATTCCAACACTGGGTGGTTAGTATCTTAAGGACTCTTAGAAAGGAGCAGTCACTGTTTGGGACACTCTTCCATTCCAGTCAAGCTATTCCAGGAAGTAGGCCAACCCTTGAAATTGGCGAGAAAAAGGAAACACACGCGAAAACAAGCAGCAGACACCTTGGAAGGTCCCCACCTTCCTGCCAAGCAGGACCTAAGGTGGATCTTTCCCAGACACTAAAGGGCAGGGCGCCTCTGGCACTTCCTGGGAGAAAAAGCAGGGAGAAAGAAGGGCGGGGATCCGGACCAACAAACAAGCGACAGAATCCCCACTCTGCAGCATCTGGGGTCATCTTTGGTTCCTCACATCTGTCTGGATGCAGCCCTCCTCCTCCACACCTTTCCCTGTAGTCACCTGTGCTTACTATCATGAACTCGGGCGCATACCTCCACACCTCCACCCACACCCACACCCACACCCACTCTCGCTCTAGCTCTCCCTCTAGCTCTCGCTCTAGCTGTAGCTCTCGCTCTCTTCCCCCCCCCCCCGCCCCTACACTCACAGGCCCGTGCAAACAGGCACACGGGCAGGCGGACGGGCATACGTGCATACACAGCTTTATTCAGGTAGACCGGTCTGGGCAGGCCCCCTCACTGACGGCCCCGACACAGCCAGTCTCTGTGCAAAGGAGGCTCAGTGGGCCCGACAGACGCCCTTCCTTGTTGTTCCCCTTTCCTTCCTCCCTGCCCCTTTCTGTTTGGCCTCCCACTCCTGAGTTGGGCCCTAGAGCATGGCAAAACAGGCCTCTCTCTGGACAGGGCTCAACCCCTCGCCTAAGTGGCTGAGACTTTGCCTTGGCTGATGGCTCTTCCCCTAGGAAGCCACGGCTGGCTGGCTCCACAGGTCCAGCTGGGGCGCAGTGCCTTTTGAGGTCACATTCGTTCTTCTCCTGCACTAGGGTTCCTCCTTTGCTCTCTCTCCGCTTTTGACTCCTTACTTTCGCGTCTTTACTGGCATTCTTCCTCTGCGCGTGTCCCCACGTTAACCTTTACTGGTGCTATGGAAGTGAACGTGGCCCCCGTGGATTGGGGGAGCAAGGGGCATCGCCTTACGACCATCCCTTGACCGTCCCTTTATTGCCGTGGGAGAGAGTAAGTAACTCATCCCTCTCCTCACTCGGGTCCCCGACCTCCCGCTTTTTAAACCCACCCCAGTGTTTCCCCGGGGTGTCCTCCGACCCGACCCTCTCTTTGCCCTGGGTGCATGCCCCGGGCTCTTTGGCTCTTTTGGCCCTATGGCGCGTGCCCGCTCCATATTCAGGGTGTGGTTGGGCCTCTCCTTTGGCCCTCTCTGTGCCCTCCAGGGCGACCTCCGGGTCAGGACCCTTGATGGCACTCAGGAGGGCTCCTTTGGCAAGAGGCTGCCTGGTGGGCGGTGGGCCCTTTTCCTGGCGGGGCCGCCTGTAGCTTGTGTCTCCTTGTCATTCCTTGTGCCTGTTAGCCCCACAGTGAGGCGCGCCTGGACTGCATCTAGGACAGCATTGGCCGGAGGCACGGTGGATGGTGGTGACCTTCTGCTTCTCTCTTTTCCTTTCACTTTCTACACTAAGCCCAGTGGTGGGGTCGGGGGTGAGGGTGTGGGGCTTGGTGGGAGTGATGGGTGTGCTAGGGGCCCAGAGGGGTGGAGGGGGGCAGGGGCTGTGGGCGGGGCTCGGGTGTGTTTTGGAGGGTGGGTGGGCTGGGGGGGGGGGCCTGGTCCATGGATCCTCCTCCCAGCCCTGACCTTGGGTTATGGGCCAGGCACCGGTGTAAGCAGAAGGCCGCGGTGAGGTGCAACCGTTCCCCTTCGTGGACCCGTGGTGGAGGCCGCGCTCATCCTTGAAAAAGGCGATCCAGACGTTCCTTTGCAAGGAAACAGCATCGGGAACTCAGGACAGGGCAAGATATCTTGTGGCTTTGTTTTTCGTTCCTTGCAGTTCTTCTCCTTATGGGAGCTCTTAACGTCAGTACTTGAAGGAGTTGGAACCTCTTCAGGTTGTGCCTTCCTTCCCCTTGTTCTCAGTCCAGTGGTGTGACCCAGGCCGATGGAGATTTCAGGGTGTGCCTAAGGGGCTGCTGTGTCGTCCATTTCCACGTGCCGGGGCGGGTGGGCGAGCACCCGAGGCTCGCCGCCGCCGCCGCCGCCGCCGCCGCCGCCGCTGCCGCCCCCGCGGCCCCCTTCACGCAGCGGTACACCCGGCCACACGGGCACGCCGCCATGCGCACGCTGAGCATACTGACACACACTGGCACGGGGACGCGGACACGCACATTCCCGGGCGGGCTCTCCAAGCGGGACACGCAGCCAGGCCCTTGGGGGTGGCGTGGGTTGGTCACCTGTGGACGGGCCTGCTCAAGCAAGGCCTGTGAACCTGGAGCCTGGCCTGTTTACCCAGATAGATGGGGACTCCCACATTGGAGGAGAGTCGGTGGCCGTCCTCCGCAGAATGGTGGCCCTGTGTGGGGCCCCGCGACTCGGAGATGTTTGGTGGTGGCCTTGCCAAGGCCCCTGTGGGAGAGCACGGGCTGGGCTGCCTGCCATAGAGTCGGTGCTCGTGTGAGTGCTTGGTTCCCCATTCTGGGGAGCCCCCTGGATGCGGCCCTGTGGCTGCAGGTCGGGTGGGCCATTTCTGGCTGCTTTGTCGGGTCCTGGCAAGGCGGGTGGTGACCTCAGGCTGTAGCTACAGGCCTTGGGGGGAGGCCACGAAGGGACCCGCAAGCCAGCGCGGGAGGGGTGGGGTGGGGGACAGTGGGGGAGAAAGCTTGTTCAGGGGAGGTCCTATGGATGTAAACCATCCCCGCAGAGTCAGAGTCACAGAGGTGGGCTTAGGTGTCCCTTGCCACTTACCTCGCCGGAGAGCAGGGGGCAAGAAAAATGGGGTAGGATAAATGGAAGGGGAAAGGCCCGGCAGGGTGTCAGGCCTCCTGGTCCCCAGTCATTTAGCCCTGCTTAGTGATTTGGTATTCAGCTGGAGTCCCCTTGCCAGGTGTGTGTGTATATGAAACACATATGTATTTCTATATATGCATATACATATACATGTATATATTTATGTGTGTATTCTTATGCATACATATATTCTTCCCCTCTCTCGTTCTCCTTTCCCTGTAATGGGGTGTGTAAGTGTGTCGCTGTGGTGGTGGTGTTGCTGTCCTTTCTTGTCCCCTGAACTCCAGTGCCTTGTGAATTTTCGTGTTTTGCGTGTTGAGGGGCACTGGCTGTGGGGGCCTCGTTTTGGTTTTTACTTTGTCCTTTTGCTTTCTGAGTACCTCTGTGTGCTTCCGTGTGGGCCCGTGGGCCCGCGGGGGCGCGCGCGCGAGGGTGTGTGTGTGTGTGTGTGTGTGTGTGTGATAGAGAGAGAGAGAGAGAGAGAGGAGAGAGCGGGAGAGCGCGAGAGTGTTGTTGTTGTGGTAGCTGCTGTTGTTGTTTTGTTTTGTTGTTGTTGTTTTGTTTTAACCTTAGATGTGGCTGAGGACCAAGACCTGAGGTGGTTGGGATGAAGGGGGAGGGGGCAGGGTCCGGATTCAGTTGGCATACGTGGAGCCATACTGCCATCAAGCGGAAATTGTTTCTGTCCAAGGCAGCCGCCTGGGCTCCAGTGGTGAGGAAAGCCCAGGAGTTGAGGAGGAGCTGGCTTGGGGCGGGTGAGGGGTGAGGGCAGAACGGGGCAGAGAGGGAAGGGGAAGCGGTGGGCCCTGTGTCCAGGGACACCTGGACACCTGGCTCCTGGCCTTCCCTTCACCTGTGTGCTGGATCCCAGATTGGACCCTGGCTCCGGAGCTGAGGAAGTCACTCAGAAGCCCCAGGGGCAGCCTGAGATGGCTGAGCCCGGAAGTTGCCTGGGACTGCCAAGCGCCATTGGCCGGGCCCGGAACCTCTAAACTGCCTCGGCTCCCGGTGAGGAAAGGGAAAGGGGCCTCCTGATCCCCTCGTGGCCCCAGGCAGGGCACTCCCCACAAAGGACACCAGAGGAAAATACCCGCCCTGGTCCCCTTGGGCAGTGGAGAGTTGCTTCCCCTGGGCCCACCCCAAAATGGCTGACAGGGAAGCTCCGCCCCCCCCTCCCCCAGGCTGTTTGGCCTTGGGGCTGCCTGCTGTATCCCCAGGGTCCCCAGAACCCTGCTTCCCGACTGGGTCCCACTGGCAGGCACAATTCCTTCGAGGCTTCTGAGGCCTGATGGGCCTGAGACCCCGGCTTGGGCAGGGCCCAGACAATCCAGGGCATCCCTGCTGACGTTCCCTCCCACCGCCCCCACGGGGGGGGGGGGGGGGGGGCGGGGGGCCTGGAGGAAGACTGGTTGCTGCTGCCTGGGCTTTTCAGAGACAGTTTCCGCTGGATGGCACTGTGGCTCCAGAGATGGCAAGTCACCCCTTTCCCTGCCCCCACTGAGCCTTCCTCTTCCCCCTTTGGCTGCCAGACACTGGGTGGAGAACCACCACCAGCACCACCACCAGCACCAGCAGCACCACCACCACCACCACCACCAGCACAGCACCACCACCACCCCTGCCCTTCTCCAGCCTCCTCTAGCCTCTGCCTTCTCTCCTGCTCTCCGGCTCTCCGTCCCCCTCCTCATCCAAGCCACAGAGCACCCATCTCAACTCTGGCTGGGCTCCTGGCCAACTTGACCACTTTGGGGCAAACCTGCAAGTGTAACTAGGCCTTTTTTTTTTGTTTGTTTGTTTTGTTTTTTCTTTTTCTTTTCCTTCAAGTTTTTCCTTTGACTCCAGTTAGTTTAACGTGCGGCTCGTTGCATTCCTCTCGGGTGTCTAATATACTGATTCAGTAGTTCCCTAGGTCACCTGGTGCTCATCTGGACTCTGTGCACTGGCTAATCCCCAGTGACCTGTTTCACCACCCCCACCTTCTCCCATTGGGTAACCATCAGTTCTCTGTAATTCAGAGTCCGCCTCTGGATCTCTTCCCCCACCCCCCCCACCCCTCCACCCCCGCACCTTTGTGTTTTCTTCTTAAATTCCCCACATGAGTGAAATCGTAAGGTATTTGTGTTTGTCCGCCTGACTCAGTTTGCTTAGCCTTCTACTCTCGGGCTCCATCCATGTCCTTGGAAATGGGAAGATCTCATCCCCTTTTTATGGCTGAATGATATTCCTGTGTGTGTGCCCGCGCTCTCGCGTGCGTGTGCGCGTCCGCGTCCACGTCCCGGCACACGTATGTACCACATCTTCTTTATGCACTCGTCAGTCCGATGGACACTTGGGCTGCTCCCCTCTTCTTGGCTATTGTAAATAACTCTGCGGTAAACATAGGGGCGCGTGTGTCCCTTTGAACTAGTGTTCTTGTATCCTTTGGTCAATTATCCGGTCCTGCGATTGCTGGATGGCAGGGTCGTTCTAGTTTACCTTTTCGAGGAACCTCCGCGCTGCTCTCCACTGTGGCTCTGTTCCCAGGTTGGGCTCCCACCAGCAGTGCGCCAGTGTTCCTTTTCTTCCCCATCCTCGCCGGCACCTGTTGTTTCTTGTGTTACCGATTTTTAGCTAGGCGTTTCTTGACTCCGTTCGTCCTGCTGGTTCACGGTGAACACAGATGACCCTCAAGAGATCCCACCAGTAGGCTTACGGATTTTTCTTGGACTTTGAATCTTCAGGCTCCCCCTGGCCTCTGGCTTGTCTGCACCACACCTGTCCCTTGGCAGCCAGCTCTCTTCTCCTGAAGCCTCATGGTTCAGTGGGCCAAAGAATGGGCCAGAGGGCAGCCAGGCCCCACGGGGGTCCAGAACCTGTTGACCGGTCTTGCAGAACGCGGTCCTGCGGAGGGTCACGAGGCTCTGAGGGCCACCAGCTGCCTCCCTCCGTGGAACCCCGGGCACTGGTTTGTGCCCAGGGGTGGGCGGTGAGCGGTGGGCCTTTTCGGAGATGGGATGGGTTACAGAGGTGGGCCTCCCGGAAGGCCACTTGGCATCTCTGATGGAGCGCAGTGTGTCCTTCCCCAAATGCCTCTGTTCACAAGTTCCAGTCGGGGGTCTCTCTGAGCGCCTCGCCCCACTCCCCCACCCCCACCCCCACCCCACCCCACCCCACCCCCGTTGGCTTTGGCGGCCAGGATCCCTGGTTTCAATTCTGCACAGGGAGCTCCACCATAAGACTTGCTGGGTTTTCGTCCAAGGGTCCCTGCGAATTTTTGCCCTTGGGCAGGGGGTGGGGGTTAGGAGGTCCATGGAACTGGGGTTGGGGGCCCCCTTCCGTTTTCGAGGGGCATGTGGCAGAAAGGGGGGCATGTTTGGGGGCTTGGTTGGGTGTATATAGCTCTCTCTGTTCCTCAACCTAAACCGGGATTGATGCCGGCCGGGTATTGGCCCTGGAGAAAGGAATGAGATGGGCCCCTGGGATGGGGGGGGGGGTGGTGGTGGTGGGGGGGGTTGGTTGTGTGTGTGTGTGTGTGTGTGTGTGTGTGTGTGTGTTTGTGCGCGCGCCTGTGCCAGCTGTTGGGGGGGAGGGGCGGTAGAGGGTGGAGTAGGTTGGGTTATCAGGTTATCAGGCAGTCAGTCTTCCAAAACCAGGGAAATGAGGGCTTTTAAGCCCGAGCAGGTTGGGATGCAGAGCAAAGCAGTGGTCACCTCCACCTCGGTGTGATTGTTTAAGGTCATACCCTCATAAGCCATGCCGCCCAGTGCCTGCAGAACGTGATCCTGAAGGTTTTTACGGTTTCCCCAGTGGTTCCCTTCCTGGCCTTTTTGAAAAGCCTTCCTGGATGCCTGAGCCCATGGGAGTTCCACAGGGGAGGGAAAATCCACACCCGCAAGGCAGGGAATTCCAACACTGGGTGGTTAGTATCTTAAGGACTCTTAGAAAGGAGCAGTCACTGTTTGGGACACTCTTCCATTCCAGTCAAGCTATTCCAGGAAGTAGGCCAACCCTTGAAATTGGCGAGAAAAAGGAAACACACGCGAAAACAAGCAGCAGACACCTTGGAAGGTCCCCACCTTCCTGCCAAGCAGGACCTAAGGTGGATCTTTCCCAGACACTAAAGGGCAGGGCGCCTCTGGCACTTCCTGGGAGAAAAAGCAGGGAGAAAGAAGGGCGGGGATCCGGACCAACAAACAAGCGACAGAATCCCCACTCTGCAGCATCTGGGGTCATCTTTGGTTCCTCACATCTGTCTGGATGCAGCCCTCCTCCTCCACACCTTTCCCTGTAGTCACCTGTGCTTACTATCATGAACTCGGGCGCATACCTCCACACCTCCACCCACACCCACACCCACACCCACTCTCGCTCTAGCTCTCCCTCTAGCTCTCGCTCTAGCTGTAGCTCTCGCTCTCTTCCCCCCCCCCCCGCCCCTACACTCACAGGCCCGTGCAAACAGGCACACGGGCAGGCGGACGGGCATACGTGCATACACAGCTTTATTCAGGTAGACCGGTCTGGGCAGGCCCCCTCACTGACGGCCCCGACACAGCCAGTCTCTGTGCAAAGGAGGCTCAGTGGGCCCGACAGACGCCCTTCCTTGTTGTTCCCCTTTCCTTCCTCCCTGCCCCTTTCTGTTTGGCCTCCCACTCCTGAGTTGGGCCCTAGAGCATGGCAAAACAGGCCTCTCTCTGGACAGGGCTCAACCCCTCGCCTAAGTGGCTGAGACTTTGCCTTGGCTGATGGCTCTTCCCCTAGGAAGCCACGGCTGGCTGGCTCCACAGGTCCAGCTGGGGCGCAGTGCCTTTTGAGGTCACATTCGTTCTTCTCCTGCACTAGGGTTCCTCCTTTGCTCTCTCTCCGCTTTTGACTCCTTACTTTCGCGTCTTTACTGGCATTCTTCCTCTGCGCGTGTCCCCACGTTAACCTTTACTGGTGCTATGGAAGTGAACGTGGCCCCCGTGGATTGGGGGAGCAAGGGGCATCGCCTTACGACCATCCCTTGACCGTCCCTTTATTGCCGTGGGAGAGAGTAAGTAACTCATCCCTCTCCTCACTCGGGTCCCCGACCTCCCGCTTTTTAAACCCACCCCAGTGTTTCCCCGGGGTGTCCTCCGACCCGACCCTCTCTTTGCCCTGGGTGCATGCCCCGGGCTCTTTGGCTCTTTTGGCCCTATGGCGCGTGCCCGCTCCATATTCAGGGTGTGGTTGGGCCTCTCCTTTGGCCCTCTCTGTGCCCTCCAGGGCGACCTCCGGGTCAGGACCCTTGATGGCACTCAGGAGGGCTCCTTTGGCAAGAGGCTGCCTGGTGGGCGGTGGGCCCTTTTCCTGGCGGGGCCGCCTGTAGCTTGTGTCTCCTTGTCATTCCTTGTGCCTGTTAGCCCCACAGTGAGGCGCGCCTGGACTGCATCTAGGACAGCATTGGCCGGAGGCACGGTGGATGGTGGTGACCTTCTGCTTCTCTCTTTTCCTTTCACTTTCTACACTAAGCCCAGTGGTGGGGTCGGGGGTGAGGGTGTGGGGCTTGGTGGGAGTGATGGGTGTGCTAGGGGCCCAGAGGGGTGGAGGGGGGCAGGGGCTGTGGGCGGGGCTCGGGTGTGTTTTGGAGGGTGGGTGGGCTGGGGGGGGGGGCCTGGTCCATGGATCCTCCTCCCAGCCCTGACCTTGGGTTATGGGCCAGGCACCGGTGTAAGCAGAAGGCCGCGGTGAGGTGCAACCGTTCCCCTTCGTGGACCCGTGGTGGAGGCCGCGCTCATCCTTGAAAAAGGCGATCCAGACGTTCCTTTGCAAGGAAACAGCATCGGGAACTCAGGACAGGGCAAGATATCTTGTGGCTTTGTTTTTCGTTCCTTGCAGTTCTTCTCCTTATGGGAGCTCTTAACGTCAGTACTTGAAGGAGTTGGAACCTCTTCAGGTTGTGCCTTCCTTCCCCTTGTTCTCAGTCCAGTGGTGTGACCCAGGCCGATGGAGATTTCAGGGTGTGCCTAAGGGGCTGCTGTGTCGTCCATTTCCACGTGCCGGGGCGGGTGGGCGAGCACCCGAGGCTCGCCGCCGCCGCCGCCGCCGCCGCCGCCGCCGCTGCCGCCCCCGCGGCCCCCTTCACGCAGCGGTACACCCGGCCACACGGGCACGCCGCCATGCGCACGCTGAGCATACTGACACACACTGGCACGGGGACGCGGACACGCACATTCCCGGGCGGGCTCTCCAAGCGGGACACGCAGCCAGGCCCTTGGGGGTGGCGTGGGTTGGTCACCTGTGGACGGGCCTGCTCAAGCAAGGCCTGTGAACCTGGAGCCTGGCCTGTTTACCCAGATAGATGGGGACTCCCACATTGGAGGAGAGTCGGTGGCCGTCCTCCGCAGAATGGTGGCCCTGTGTGGGGCCCCGCGACTCGGAGATGTTTGGTGGTGGCCTTGCCAAGGCCCCTGTGGGAGAGCACGGGCTGGGCTGCCTGCCATAGAGTCGGTGCTCGTGTGAGTGCTTGGTTCCCCATTCTGGGGAGCCCCCTGGATGCGGCCCTGTGGCTGCAGGTCGGGTGGGCCATTTCTGGCTGCTTTGTCGGGTCCTGGCAAGGCGGGTGGTGACCTCAGGCTGTAGCTACAGGCCTTGGGGGGAGGCCACGAAGGGACCCGCAAGCCAGCGCGGGAGGGGTGGGGTGGGGGACAGTGGGGGAGAAAGCTTGTTCAGGGGAGGTCCTATGGATGTAAACCATCCCCGCAGAGTCAGAGTCACAGAGGTGGGCTTAGGTGTCCCTTGCCACTTACCTCGCCGGAGAGCAGGGGGCAAGAAAAATGGGGTAGGATAAATGGAAGGGGAAAGGCCCGGCAGGGTGTCAGGCCTCCTGGTCCCCAGTCATTTAGCCCTGCTTAGTGATTTGGTATTCAGCTGGAGTCCCCTTGCCAGGTGTGTGTGTATATGAAACACATATGTATTTCTATATATGCATATACATATACATGTATATATTTATGTGTGTATTCTTATGCATACATATATTCTTCCCCTCTCTCGTTCTCCTTTCCCTGTAATGGGGTGTGTAAGTGTGTCGCTGTGGTGGTGGTGTTGCTGTCCTTTCTTGTCCCCTGAACTCCAGTGCCTTGTGAATTTTCGTGTTTTGCGTGTTGAGGGGCACTGGCTGTGGGGGCCTCGTTTTGGTTTTTACTTTGTCCTTTTGCTTTCTGAGTACCTCTGTGTGCTTCCGTGTGGGCCCGTGGGCCCGCGGGGCGCGCGCGCGAGGGTGTGTGTGTGTGTGTGTGTGTGTGTGTGATAGAGAGAGAGAGAGAGAGAGGAGAGAGCGGGAGAGCGCGAGAGTGTTGTTGTTGTGGTAGCTGCTGTTGTTGTTTTGTTTTGTTGTTGTTGTTTTGTTTTAACCTTAGATGTGGCTGAGGACCAAGACCTGAGGTGGTTGGGATGAAGGGGGAGGGGGCAGGGTCCGGATTCAGTTGGCATACGTGGAGCCATACTGCCATCAAGCGGAAATTGTTTCTGTCCAAGGCAGCCGCCTGGGCTCCAGTGGTGAGGAAAGCCCAGGAGTTGAGGAGGAGCTGGCTTGGGGCGGGTGAGGGGTGAGGGCAGAACGGGGCAGAGAGGGAAGGGGAAGCGGTGGGCCCTGTGTCCAGGGACACCTGGACACCTGGCTCCTGGCCTTCCCTTCACCTGTGTGCTGGATCCCAGATTGGACCCTGGCTCCGGAGCTGAGGAAGTCACTCAGAAGCCCCAGGGGCAGCCTGAGATGGCTGAGCCCGGAAGTTGCCTGGGACTGCCAAGCGCCATTGGCCGGGCCCGGAACCTCTAAACTGCCTCGGCTCCCGGTGAGGAAAGGGAAAGGGGCCTCCTGATCCCCTCGTGGCCCCAGGCAGGGCACTCCCCACAAAGGACACCAGAGGAAAATACCCGCCCTGGTCCCCTTGGGCAGTGGAGAGTTGCTTCCCCTGGGCCCACCCCAAAATGGCTGACAGGGAAGCTCCGCCCCCCCCTCCCCCAGGCTGTTTGGCCTTGGGGCTGCCTGCTGTATCCCCAGGGTCCCCAGAACCCTGCTTCCCGACTGGGTCCCACTGGCAGGCACAATTCCTTCGAGGCTTCTGAGGCCTGATGGGCCTGAGACCCCGGCTTGGGCAGGGCCCAGACAATCCAGGGCATCCCTGCTGACGTTCCCTCCCACCGCCCCCACGGGGGGGGGGGGGGGGGGGCGGGGGGCCTGGAGGAAGACTGGTTGCTGCTGCCTGGGCTTTTCAGAGACAGTTTCCGCTGGATGGCACTGTGGCTCCAGAGATGGCAAGTCACCCCTTTCCCTGCCCCCACTGAGCCTTCCTCTTCCCCCTTTGGCTGCCAGACACTGGGTGGAGAACCACCACCAGCACCACCACCAGCACCAGCAGCACCACCACCACCACCACCACCAGCACAGCACCACCACCACCCCTGCCCTTCTCCAGCCTCCTCTAGCCTCTGCCTTCTCTCCTGCTCTCCGGCTCTCCGTCCCCCTCCTCATCCAAGCCACAGAGCACCCATCTCAACTCTGGCTGGGCTCCTGGCCAACTTGACCACTTTGGGGCAAACCTGCAAGTGTAACTAGGCCTTTTTTTTTTGTTTGTTTGTTTTGTTTTTTCTTTTTCTTTTCCTTCAAGTTTTTCCTTTGACTCCAGTTAGTTTAACGTGCGGCTCGTTGCATTCCTCTCGGGTGTCTAATATACTGATTCAGTAGTTCCCTAGGTCACCTGGTGCTCATCTGGACTCTGTGCACTGGCTAATCCCCAGTGACCTGTTTCACCACCCCCACCTTCTCCCATTGGGTAACCATCAGTTCTCTGTAATTCAGAGTCCGCCTCTGGATCTCTTCCCCCACCCCCCCCACCCCTCCACCCCCGCACCTTTGTGTTTTCTTCTTAAATTCCCCACATGAGTGAAATCGTAAGGTATTTGTGTTTGTCCGCCTGACTCAGTTTGCTTAGCCTTCTACTCTCGGGCTCCATCCATGTCCTTGGAAATGGGAAGATCTCATCCCCTTTTTATGGCTGAATGATATTCCTGTGTGTGTGCCCGCGCTCTCGCGTGCGTGTGCGCGTCCGCGTCCACGTCCCGGCACACGTATGTACCACATCTTCTTTATGCACTCGTCAGTCCGATGGACACTTGGGCTGCTCCCCTCTTCTTGGCTATTGTAAATAACTCTGCGGTAAACATAGGGGCGCGTGTGTCCCTTTGAACTAGTGTTCTTGTATCCTTTGGTCAATTATCCGGTCCTGCGATTGCTGGATGGCAGGGTCGTTCTAGTTTACCTTTTCGAGGAACCTCCGCGCTGCTCTCCACTGTGGCTCTGTTCCCAGGTTGGGCTCCCACCAGCAGTGCGCCAGTGTTCCTTTTCTTCCCCATCCTCGCCGGCACCTGTTGTTTCTTGTGTTACCGATTTTTAGCTAGGCGTTTCTTGACTCCGTTCGTCCTGCTGGTTCACGGTGAACACAGATGACCCTCAAGAGATCCCACCAGTAGGCTTACGGATTTTTCTTGGACTTTGAATCTTCAGGCTCCCCCTGGCCTCTGGCTTGTCTGCACCACACCTGTCCCTTGGCAGCCAGCTCTCTTCTCCTGAAGCCTCATGGTTCAGTGGGCCAAAGAATGGGCCAGAGGGCAGCCAGGCCCCACGGGGGTCCAGAACCTGTTGACCGGTCTTGCAGAACGCGGTCCTGCGGAGGGTCACGAGGCTCTGAGGGCCACCAGCTGCCTCCCTCCGTGGAACCCCGGGCACTGGTTTGTGCCCAGGGGTGGGCGGTGAGCGGTGGGCCTTTTCGGAGATGGGATGGGTTACAGAGGTGGGCCTCCCGGAAGGCCACTTGGCATCTCTGATGGAGCGCAGTGTGTCCTTCCCCAAATGCCTCTGTTCACAAGTTCCAGTCGGGGGTCTCTCTGAGCGCCTCGCCCCACTCCCCCACCCCCACCCCCACCCCACCCCACCCCACCCCCGTTGGCTTTGGCGGCCAGGATCCCTGGTTTCAATTCTGCACAGGGAGCTCCACCATAAGACTTGCTGGGTTTTCGTCCAAGGGCCCCTGCGAATTTTTGCCCTTGGGCAGGGGGTGGGGGTTAGGAGGTCCATGGAACTGGGGTTGGGGGCCCCCTTCCGTTTTCGAGGGGCATGTGGCAGAAAGGGGGGCATGTTTGGGGGCTTGGTTGGGTGTATATAGCTCTCTCTGTTCCTCAACCTAAACCGGGATTGATGCCGGCCCGGTATTGGCCCTGGAGAAAGGAATGAGATGGGCCCCTGGGATGGGGGGGGGGGTGGTGGTGGTGGGGGGGGTTGGTTGTGTGTGTGTGTGTGTGTGTGTGTGTGTGTGTGTTTGTGCGCGCGCCTGTGCCAGCTGTTGGGGGGGAGGGGCGGTAGAGGGTGGAGTAGGTTGGGTTATCAGGTTATCAGGCAGTCAGTCTTCCAAAACCAGGGAAATGAGGGCTTTTAAGCCCGAGCAGGTTGGGATGCAGAGCAAAGCAGTGGTCACCTCCACCTCGGTGTGATTGTTTAAGGTCATACCCTCATAAGCCATGCCGCCCAGTGCCTGCAGAACGTGATCCTGAAGGTTTTTACGGTTTCCCCAGTGGTTCCCTTCCTGGCCTTTTTGAAAAGCCTTCCTGGATGCCTGAGCCCATGGGAGTTCCACAGGGGAGGGAAAATCCACACCCGCAAGGCAGGGAATTCCAACACTGGGTGGTTAGTATCTTAAGGACTCTTAGAAAGGAGCAGTCACTGTTTGGGACACTCTTCCATTCCAGTCAAGCTATTCCAGGAAGTAGGCCAACCCTTGAAATTGGCGAGAAAAAGGAAACACACGCGAAAACAAGCAGCAGACACCTTGGAAGGTCCCCACCTTCCTGCCAAGCAGGACCTAAGGTGGATCTTTCCCAGACACTAAAGGGCAGGGCGCCTCTGGCACTTCCTGGGAGAAAAAGCAGGGAGAAAGAAGGGCGGGGATCCGGACCAACAAACAAGCGACAGAATCCCCACTCTGCAGCATCTGGGGTCATCTTTGGTTCCTCACATCTGTCTGGATGCAGCCCTCCTCCTCCACACCTTTCCCTGTAGTCACCTGTGCTTACTATCATGAACTCGGGCGCATACCTCCACACCTCCACCCACACCCACACCCACACCCACTCTCGCTCTAGCTCTCCCTCTAGCTCTCGCTCTAGCTGTAGCTCTCGCTCTCTTCCCCCCCCCCCCGCCCCTACACTCACAGGCCCGTGCAAACAGGCACACGGGCAGGCGGACGGGCATACGTGCATACACAGCTTTATTCAGGTAGACCGGTCTGGGCAGGCCCCCTCACTGACGGCCCCGACACAGCCAGTCTCTGTGCAAAGGAGGCTCAGTGGGCCCGACAGACGCCCTTCCTTGTTGTTCCCCTTTCCTTCCTCCCTGCCCCTTTCTGTTTGGCCTCCCACTCCTGAGTTGGGCCCTAGAGCATGGCAAAACAGGCCTCTCTCTGGACAGGGCTCAACCCCTCGCCTAAGTGGCTGAGACTTTGCCTTGGCTGATGGCTCTTCCCCTAGGAAGCCACGGCTGGCTGGCTCCACAGGTCCAGCTGGGGCGCAGTGCCTTTTGAGGTCACATTCGTTCTTCTCCTGCACTAGGGTTCCTCCTTTGCTCTCTCTCCGCTTTTGACTCCTTACTTTCGCGTCTTTACTGGCATTCTTCCTCTGCGCGTGTCCCCACGTTAACCTTTACTGGTGCTATGGAAGTGAACGTGGCCCCCGTGGATTGGGGGAGCAAGGGGCATCGCCTTACGACCATCCCTTGACCGTCCCTTTATTGCCGTGGGAGAGAGTAAGTAACTCATCCCTCTCCTCACTCGGGTCCCCGACCTCCCGCTTTTTAAACCCACCCCAGTGTTTCCCCGGGGTGTCCTCCGACCCGACCCTCTCTTTGCCCTGGGTGCATGCCCCGGGCTCTTTGGCTCTTTTGGCCCTATGGCGCGTGCCCGCTCCATATTCAGGGTGTGGTTGGGCCTCTCCTTTGGCCCTCTCTGTGCCCTCCAGGGCGACCTCCGGGTCAGGACCCTTGATGGCACTCAGGAGGGCTCCTTTGGCAAGAGGCTGCCTGGTGGGCGGTGGGCCCTTTTCCTGGCGGGGCCGCCTGTAGCTTGTGTCTCCTTGTCATTCCTTGTGCCTGTTAGCCCCACAGTGAGGCGCGCCTGGACTGCATCTAGGACAGCATTGGCCGGAGGCACGGTGGATGGTGGTGACCTTCTGCTTCTCTCTTTTCCTTTCACTTTCTACACTAAGCCCAGTGGTGGGGTCGGGGGTGAGGGTGTGGGGCTTGGTGGGAGTGATGGGTGTGCTAGGGGCCCAGAGGGGTGGAGGGGGGCAGGGGCTGTGGGCGGGGCTCGGGTGTGTTTTGGAGGGTGGGTGGGCTGGGGGGGGGGGCCTGGTCCATGGATCCTCCTCCCAGCCCTGACCTTGGGTTATGGGCCAGGCACCGGTGTAAGCAGAAGGCCGCGGTGAGGTGCAACCGTTCCCCTTCGTGGACCCGTGGTGGAGGCCGCGCTCATCCTTGAAAAAGGCGATCCAGACGTTCCTTTGCAAGGAAACAGCATCGGGAACTCAGGACAGGGCAAGATATCTTGTGGCTTTGTTTTTCGTTCCTTGCAGTTCTTCTCCTTATGGGAGCTCTTAACGTCAGTACTTGAAGGAGTTGGAACCTCTTCAGGTTGTGCCTTCCTTCCCCTTGTTCTCAGTCCAGTGGTGTGACCCAGGCCGATGGAGATTTCAGGGTGTGCCTAAGGGGCTGCTGTGTCGTCCATTTCCACGTGCCGGGGCGGGTGGGCGAGCACCCGAGGCTCGCCGCCGCCGCCGCCGCCGCCGCCGCCGCCGCTGCCGCCCCCGCGGCCCCCTTCACGCAGCGGTACACCCGGCCACACGGGCACGCCGCCATGCGCACGCTGAGCATACTGACACACACTGGCACGGGGACGCGGACACGCACATTCCCGGGCGGGCTCTCCAAGCGGGACACGCAGCCAGGCCCTTGGGGGTGGCGTGGGTTGGTCACCTGTGGACGGGCCTGCTCAAGCAAGGCCTGTGAACCTGGAGCCTGGCCTGTTTACCCAGATAGATGGGGACTCCCACATTGGAGGAGAGTCGGTGGCCGTCCTCCGCAGAATGGTGGCCCTGTGTGGGGCCCCGCGACTCGGAGATGTTTGGTGGTGGCCTTGCCAAGGCCCCTGTGGGAGAGCACGGGCTGGGCTGCCTGCCATAGAGTCGGTGCTCGTGTGAGTGCTTGGTTCCCCATTCTGGGGAGCCCCCTGGATGCGGCCCTGTGGCTGCAGGTCGGGTGGGCCATTTCTGGCTGCTTTGTCGGGTCCTGGCAAGGCGGTGGTGACCTCAGGCTGTAGCTACAGGCCTTGGGGGGAGGCCACGAAGGGACCCGCAAGCCAGCGCGGGAGGGGTGGGGTGGGGGACAGTGGGGGAGAAAGCTTGTTCAGGGGAGGTCCTATGGATGTAAACCATCCCCGCAGAGTCAGAGTCACAGAGGTGGGCTTAGGTGTCCCTTGCCACTTACCTCGCCGGAGAGCAGGGGGCAAGAAAAATGGGGTAGGATAAATGGAAGGGGAAAGGCCCGGCAGGGTGTCAGGCCTCCTGGTCCCCAGTCATTTAGCCCTGCTTAGTGATTTGGTATTCAGCTGGAGTCCCCTTGCCAGGTGTGTGTGTATATGAAACACATATGTATTTCTATATATGCATATACATATACATGTATATATTTATGTGTGTATTCTTATGCATACATATATTCTTCCCCTCTCTCGTTCTCCTTTCCCTGTAATGGGGTGTGTAAGTGTGTCGCTGTGGTGGTGGTGTTGCTGTCCTTTCTTGTCCCCTGAACTCCAGTGCCTTGTGAATTTTCGTGTTTTGCGTGTTGAGGGGCACTGGCTGTGGGGGCCTCGTTTTGGTTTTTACTTTGTCCTTTTGCTTTCTGAGTACCTCTGTGTGCTTCCGTGTGGGCCCGTGGGCCCGCGGGGCGCGCGCGCGAGGGTGTGTGTGTGTGTGTGTGTGTGTGTGATAGAGAGAGAGAGAGAGAGAGAGAGGAGAGAGCGGGAGAGCGCGAGAGTGTTGTTGTTGTGGTAGCTGCTGTTGTTGTTTTGTTTTGTTGTTGTTGTTTTGTTTTAACCTTAGATGTGGCTGAGGACCAAGACCTGAGGTGGTTGGGATGAAGGGGGAGGGGGCAGGGTCCGGATTCAGTTGGCATACGTGGAGCCATACTGCCATCAAGCGGAAATTGTTTCTGTCCAAGGCAGCCGCCTGGGCTCCAGTGGTGAGGAAAGCCCAGGAGTTGAGGAGGAGCTGGCTTGGGGCGGGTGAGGGGTGAGGGCAGAACGGGGCAGAGAGGGAAGGGGAAGCGGTGGGCCCTGTGTCCAGGGACACCTGGACACCTGGCTCCTGGCCTTCCCTTCACCTGTGTGCTGGATCCCAGATTGGACCCTGGCTCCGGAGCTGAGGAAGTCACTCAGAAGCCCCAGGGGCAGCCTGAGATGGCTGAGCCCGGAAGTTGCCTGGGACTGCCAAGCGCCATTGGCCGGGCCCGGAACCTCTAAACTGCCTCGGCTCCCGGTGAGGAAAGGGAAAGGGGCCTCCTGATCCCCTCGTGGCCCCAGGCAGGGCACTCCCCACAAAGGACACCAGAGGAAAATACCCGCCCTGGTCCCCTTGGGCAGTGGAGAGTTGCTTCCCCTGGGCCCACCCCAAAATGGCTGACAGGGAAGCTCCGCCCCCCCCTCCCCCAGGCTGTTTGGCCTTGGGGCTGCCTGCTGTATCCCCAGGGTCCCCAGAACCCTGCTTCCCGACTGGGTCCCACTGGCAGGCACAATTCCTTCGAGGCTTCTGAGGCCTGATGGGCCTGAGACCCCGGCTTGGGCAGGGCCCAGACAATCCAGGGCATCCCTGCTGACGTTCCCTCCCACCGCCCCCACGGGGGGGGGGGGGGGGGGGCGGGGGGCCTGGAGGAAGACTGGTTGCTGCTGCCTGGGCTTTTCAGAGACAGTTTCCGCTGGATGGCACTGTGGCTCCAGAGATGGCAAGTCACCCCTTTCCCTGCCCCCACTGAGCCTTCCTCTTCCCCCTTTGGCTGCCAGACACTGGGTGGAGAACCACCACCAGCACCACCACCAGCACCAGCAGCACCACCACCACCACCACCACCAGCACAGCACCACCACCACCCCTGCCCTTCTCCAGCCTCCTCTAGCCTCTGCCTTCTCTCCTGCTCTCCGGCTCTCCGTCCCCCTCCTCATCCAAGCCACAGAGCACCCATCTCAACTCTGGCTGGGCTCCTGGCCAACTTGACCACTTTGGGGCAAACCTGCAAGTGTAACTAGGCCTTTTTTTTTTGTTTGTTTGTTTTGTTTTTTCTTTTTCTTTTCCTTCAAGTTTTTCCTTTGACTCCAGTTAGTTTAACGTGCGGCTCGTTGCATTCCTCTCGGGTGTCTAATATACTGATTCAGTAGTTCCCTAGGTCACCTGGTGCTCATCTGGACTCTGTGCACTGGCTAATCCCCAGTGACCTGTTTCACCACCCCCACCTTCTCCCATTGGGTAACCATCAGTTCTCTGTAATTCAGAGTCCGCCTCTGGATCTCTTCCCCCACCCCCCCCACCCCTCCACCCCCGCACCTTTGTGTTTTCTTCTTAAATTCCCCACATGAGTGAAATCGTAAGGTATTTGTGTTTGTCCGCCTGACTCAGTTTGCTTAGCCTTCTACTCTCGGGCTCCATCCATGTCCTTGGAAATGGGAAGATCTCATCCCCTTTTTATGGCTGAATGATATTCCTGTGTGTGTGCCCGCGCTCTCGCGTGCGTGTGCGCGTCCGCGTCCACGTCCCGGCACACGTATGTACCACATCTTCTTTATGCACTCGTCAGTCCGATGGACACTTGGGCTGCTCCCCTCTTCTTGGCTATTGTAAATAACTCTGCGGTAAACATAGGGGCGCGTGTGTCCCTTTGAACTAGTGTTCTTGTATCCTTTGGTCAATTATCCGGTCCTGCGATTGCTGGATGGCAGGGTCGTTCTAGTTTACCTTTTCGAGGAACCTCCGCGCTGCTCTCCACTGTGGCTCTGTTCCCAGGTTGGGCTCCCACCAGCAGTGCGCCAGTGTTCCTTTTCTTCCCCATCCTCGCCGGCACCTGTTGTTTCTTGTGTTACCGATTTTTAGCTAGGCGTTTCTTGACTCCGTTCGTCCTGCTGGTTCACGGTGAACACAGATGACCCTCAAGAGATCCCACCAGTAGGCTTACGGATTTTTCTTGGACTTTGAATCTTCAGGCTCCCCCTGGCCTCTGGCTTGTCTGCACCACACCTGTCCCTTGGCAGCCAGCTCTCTTCTCCTGAAGCCTCATGGTTCAGTGGGCCAAAGAATGGGCCAGAGGGCAGCCAGGCCCCACGGGGGTCCAGAACCTGTTGACCGGTCTTGCAGAACGCGGTCCTGCGGAGGGTCACGAGGCTCTGAGGGCCACCAGCTGCCTCCCTCCGTGGAACCCCGGGCACTGGTTTGTGCCCAGGGGTGGGCGGTGAGCGGTGGGCCTTTTCGGAGATGGGATGGGTTACAGAGGTGGGCCTCCCGGAAGGCCACTTGGCATCTCTGATGGAGCGCAGTGTGTCCTTCCCCAAATGCCTCTGTTCACAAGTTCCAGTCGGGGGTCTCTCTGAGCGCCTCGCCCCACTCCCCCACCCCCACCCCCACCCCACCCCACCCCACCCCCGTTGGCTTTGGCGGCCAGGATCCCTGGTTTCAATTCTGCACAGGGAGCTCCACCATAAGACTTGCTGGGTTTTCGTCCAAGGGCCCCTGCGAATTTTTGCCCTTGGGCAGGGGGTGGGGGTTAGGAGGTCCATGGAACTGGGGTTGGGGGCCCCCTTCCGTTTTCGAGGGGCATGTGGCAGAAAGGGGGGCATGTTTGGGGGCTTGGTTGGGTGTATATAGCTCTCTCTGTTCCTCAACCTAAACCGGGATTGATGCCGGCCCGGTATTGGCCCTGGAGAAAGGAATGAGATGGGCCCCTGGGATGGGGGGGGGGGTGGTGGTGGTGGGGGGGGTTGGTTGTGTGTGTGTGTGTGTGTGTGTGTGTGTGTGTGTTTGTGCGCGCGCCTGTGCCAGCTGTTGGGGGGGAGGGGCGGTAGAGGGTGGAGTAGGTTGGGTTATCAGGTTATCAGGCAGTCAGTCTTCCAAAACCAGGGAAATGAGGGCTTTTAAGCCCGAGCAGGTTGGGATGCAGAGCAAAGCAGTGGTCACCTCCACCTCGGTGTGATTGTTTAAGGTCATACCCTCATAAGCCATGCCGCCCAGTGCCTGCAGAACGTGATCCTGAAGGTTTTTACGGTTTCCCCAGTGGTTCCCTTCCTGGCCTTTTTGAAAAGCCTTCCTGGATGCCTGAGCCCATGGGAGTTCCACAGGGGAGGGAAAATCCACACCCGCAAGGCAGGGAATTCCAACACTGGGTGGTTAGTATCTTAAGGACTCTTAGAAAGGAGCAGTCACTGTTTGGGACACTCTTCCATTCCAGTCAAGCTATTCCAGGAAGTAGGCCAACCCTTGAAATTGGCGAGAAAAAGGAAACACACGCGAAAACAAGCAGCAGACACCTTGGAAGGTCCCCACCTTCCTGCCAAGCAGGACCTAAGGTGGATCTTTCCCAGACACTAAAGGGCAGGGCGCCTCTGGCACTTCCTGGGAGAAAAAAGCAGGGAGAAAGAAGGGCGGGGATCCGGACCAACAAAACAAGCGACAGAATCCCCACTCTGCAGCATCTGGGGTCATCTTTGGTTCCTCACATCTGTCTGGATGCAGCCCTCCTCCTCCACACCTTTCCTGTAGTCACCTGTGCTTACTATCATGAACTCGGGCGCATACCTCCACACCTCCACCCACACCCACACCCACACCCACTCTCGCTCTAGCTCTCCCTCTAGCTCTCGCTCTAGCTGTAGCTCTCGCTCTCTTCCCCCCCCCCCCCGCCCCTACACTCACAGGCCCGTGCAAACAGGCACACGGGCAGGCGGACGGGCATACGTGCATACACAGCTTTATTCAGGTAGACCGGTCTGGGCAGGCCCCCTCACTGACGGCCCCGACACAGCCAGTCTTCTGTGCAAAGGGGGCTCAGTGGGCCCGACAGACGCCCTTCCTTGTTGTTCCCCTTTCCTTCCTCCCTGCCCCTTTCTGTTTGGCCTCCCACTCTCCTGAGTTGGGCCCTAGAGCATGGCAAAACAGGCCTCTCTCTGGACAGGGCTCAACCCCTCGCCTAAGTGGCTGAGACTTTGCCTTGGCTGATGGCTCTTCCCCTAGGAAGCCACGGCTGGCTGGCTCCACAGGTCCAGCTGGGGCGCGCACTGCCTTTTGAGGTCACATTCGTTCTTCTCCTGCACTAGGGTTCCTCCTTTGCTCTCTCTCCGCTTTTGACTCCTTACTTTCGCGTCTTTACTGGCATTCTTCCTCTGCGCGTGTCCCCACGTTAACCTTTACTGGTGCTATGGAAGTGAACGTGGCCCCCGTGGATTGGGGGAGCAAGGGGCATCGCCTTACGACCATCCCTTGACCGTCCCTTTATTGCCGTGGGAGAGAGAGTAAGTAACTCATCCCTCTCCTCACTCGGGTCCCCGACCTCCCGCTTTTTTAAACCCACCCCAGTGTTTCCCCGGGGTGTCCTCCGACCCGACCCTCTTTGCCCTGGGTGCATGCCCCGGGCTCTTTGGCTCTTTTGGCCCTATGGCGCGTGCCCCGCTCCATATTCAGGGTGGTGGTTGGGCCTCTCCTTTGGCCCTCTCTGTGCCCTCCAGGGCGACCTCCGGGTCAGGACCCTTGATGGCACTCAGGAGGGCTCCTTTGGCAAGAGGCTGCCTGGTGGGCGGTGGGGCCCTTTTCCTGGCGGGGGCCGCCTGTAGCTTGTGTCTCCTTGTCATTCCTTGTGCCTGTTAGCCCCACAGTGAGGCGCGCCTGGACTGCATCTAGGACAGCATTGGCCGGAGGCACGGTGGATGGTGGTGACCTTCTGCTTCTCTCTTTTCCTTTCACTTTCTACACTAAGCCCAGTGGTGGGGTCGGGGGTGAGGGTGTGGGGCTTGGTGGGAGTGATGGGTGTGCTAGGGGCCCAGAGGGGTGGAGGGGGGCAGGGGCTGTGGGCGGGGCTCGGGTGTGTTTTGGAGGGTGGGGTGGGCTGGGGGGGGGGGCCTGGTCCATGGATCCTCCTCCCAGCCCTGACCTTGGGTTATGGGCCAGGCACCGGTGTAAGCAGAAGGCCGCGGTGAGGGTGCAACCGTTCCCCTTCGTGGACCCGTGGTGGAGGCCGCGCTCATCCTTGAAAAAGGCGATCCAGACGTTCCTTTGCAAAGGAAACAGCATCGGGAACTCAGGACAGGGCAAGATATCTTGTGGCTTTGTTTTTCGTTCCTTGCAGTTCTTCTCCTTATGGGAGCTCTTAACGTCAGTACTTGAAGGAGTTGGAACCTCTTCAAGTTGTGCCTTCCTTCCCCTTGTTCTCAGTCCAGTGGTGTGACCCAGGCCGATGGAGATTTCAGGGTGTGCCTAAGGGGCTGCTGTGTCGTCCATTTCCACGTGCCGGGGCGGGTGGGCGAGCACCCGAGGCTCGCCGCCGCCGCCGCCGCCGCCGCCGCCGCCGCCGCCGCCGCCGCCGCCGCTGCCGCCCCCCCGCGGCCCCCTTCACGCAGCGGTACACCCGGCCACACGGGCACGCCGCCATGCGCACGCTGAGCATACTGACACACACTGGCACGGGGACGCGGACACGCACATTCCCGGGCGGGGGCTCTCCAAGCGGGACACGCAGCCAGGCCCTTGGGGGTGGCGTGGGTTGGTCACCTGTGGACGGGCCTGCTCAAGCAAGGCCTGTGAACCTGGAGCCTGGCCTGTTTACCCAGATAGATGGGGACTCCCACATTGGAGGAGAGTCGGTGGGCCGTCCTCCGCAGAATGGTGGCCCTGTGTGGGGCCCCGCGACTCGGAGATGTTTGGTGGTGGGCCTTGCCAAGGCCCCTGTGGGAGAGCACGGGCTGGGCTGCCTGCCATAGAGTCGGTGCTCGTGTGAGTGCTTGGTTCCCCATTCTGGGGAGCCCCCTGGATGCGGCCCTGTGGCTGCAGGTCGGGTGGGGGCCATTTCTGGCTGCTTTGTCGGGTCCTGGCAAGGCGGTGGTGACCTCAGGCTGTAGCTACAGGCCTTGGGGGGAGGCCACGAAGGGACCCGCAAGCCAGCGCGGGGGGGGTGGGGTGGGGGACAGTGGGGGAGAAAGCTTGTTCAGGGGAGGGTCCTATGGATGTAAACCATCCCCGCAGAGTCAGAGTCACAGAGGTGGGCTTAGGTGTCCCTTGCCACTTACCTCGCCGGAGAGCAGGGGGCAAGAAAAATGGGGTAGGATAAATGGAAGGGGAAAGGCCCGGCAGGGTGTCAGGCCTCCTGGTCCCCAGTCATTTTAGCCCTGCTTAGTGATTTGGTATTCAGCTGGAGTCCCCTTGCCAGGTGTGTGTGTATATGAAACACATATGTATTTCTATATATGCATATACATATACATGTATATATTTATGTGTGTATTCTTATGCATACATATATTCTTCCCCTCTCTCGTTCTCCTTTCCCTGTAATGGGGTGTGTAAGTGTGTCGCTGTGGTGGTGGTGTTGCTGTCCTTTCTTGTCCCCTGAACTCCAGTGCCTTGTGAATTTTCGTGTTTTGCGTGTTGAGGGGCACTGGCTGTGGGGGCCTCGTTTTGGTTTTTACTTTGTCCTTTTGCTTTCTGAGTACCTCTGTGTGCTTCCGTGTGGGCCCGTGGGCCCGCGGGCGCGCGCGCGAGGGTGTGTGTGTGTGTGTGTGTGTGTGTGTGTGTGATAGAGAGAGAGAGAGAGAGAGAGAGGAGAGAGCGGGAGAGCGCGAGAGTGTTGTTGTTGTGGTAGCTGCTGTTGTTGTTTTGTTTTGTTGTTGTTGTTTTGTTTTAACCTTAGATGTGGCTGAGGACCAAGACCTGAGGTGGTTGGGATGAAGGGGGGGGGGGGGCAGGGTCCGGATTCAGTTGGCATACGTGGAGCCATACTGCCATCAAGCGGAAATTGTTTCTGTCCAAGTCCAAGGCAGCCGCCTGGGCTCCAGTGGTGAGGAAAGCCCAGGAGTTGAGGAGGAGCTGGCTTGGGGCGGGTGAGGGGTGAGGGCAGAACGGGGCAGAGAGGGAAGGGGAAGCGGTGGGCCCTGTGTCCAGGGACACCTGGACACCTGGCTCCTGGCCTTCCCTTCACCTGTGTGCTGGATCCCAGATTGGACCCTGGCTCCGGAGCTGAGGAAGTCACTCAGAAGCCCCAGGGGCAGCCTGAGATGGCTGAGCCCGGAAGTTGCCTGGGACTGCCAAGCGCCATTGGCCGGGCCCGGAACCTCTAAACTGCCTCGGCTCCCGGTGAGGAAAGGGAAAGGGGGGCCTCCTGATCCCCTCGTGGCCCCAGGCAGGGCACTCCCCACAAAGGACACCAGAGGAAAATACCCGCCCTGGTCCCCTTGGGCAGTGGAGAGTTGCTTCCCCTGGGCCCACCCCAAAATGGCTGACAGGGAAGCTCCGCCCCCCCCTCCCCCAGGCTGTTTGGCCTTGGGGCTGCCTGCTGTATCCCCAGGGTCCCCAGAACCCTGCTTCCCGACTGGGTCCCACTGGCAGCAGGCACAATTCCTTCGAGGCTTCTGAGGCCTGATGGGCCTGAGACCCCGGCTTGGGCAGGGCCCAGACAATCCAGGGCATCCCTGCTGACGTTCCCTCCCACCGCCCCCACGGGGGGGGGGGGGGGGGGGGGGGGCCTGGAGGAAGACTGGTTGCTGCTGCCTGGGCTTTTCAGAGAGACAGTTTCCGCTGGATGGCACTGTGGCTCCAGAGATGGCAAGTCACCCCTTTCCCTGCCCCCACTGAGCCTTCCTCTTCTTCCCCCTTTGGCTGCCAGACACTGGGTGGAGAACCACCACCAGCACCACCACCAGCACCAGCAGCACCACCACCACCACCACCACCAGCACAGCACCACCACCACCCCTGCCCTTCTCCAGCCTCCTCTAGCCTCTGCCTTCTCTCCTGCTCTCCGGCTCTCCGTCCCCCTCCTCATCCAAGCCACAGAGCACCCATCTCAACTCTGGCTGGGCTCCTGGCCAACTTGACCACTTTGGGGCAAACCTGCAAGTGTAACTAGGCCTTTTTTTTTTTGTTTGTTTGTTTTGTTTTTTTTTTTTCTTTTCCTTCAAGTTTTTCCTTTGACTCCAGTTAGTTTAACGTGCGGCTCGTTGCATTCCTCTCGGGTGTCTAATATACTGATTCAGTAGTTCCCTAGGTCACCTGGTGCTCATCTGGACTCTGTGCACTGGCTAATCCCCAGTGACCTGTTTCACCACCCCCCACCTTCTCCCATTGGGTAACCATCAGTTCTCTGTAATTCAGAGTCCGCCTCTGGATCTCTTCCCCCACCCCCCCCACCCCTCCACCCCCGCACCTTTGTGTTTTCTTTCTTAAATTCCCCACATGAGTGAAATCGTAAGGTATTTGTGTTTGTCCGCCTGACTCAGTTTGCTTAGCCTTCTACTCTCGGGCTCCATCCATGTCCTTGGAAATGGGAAGATCTCATCCCCTTTTTATGGCTGAATGATATTCCTGTGTGTGTGCCCGCGCTCTCGCGTGCGTGTGCGCGTCCGCGTC